TTGAGTTTATAGTACACTTATAAATTGAAACGCAATCAGTCATTTGCAACTTATACACTGAACTGTCAAATTATTTTTCATGCTTCCAATGGTTGGTTACCATAGAGAAAAGTCTATGATGCCCACTATGATCAAAATTAGTGAACTTGAAAACATTTTAAATTTATAAATATAAGTAATTTTAGCTCCATCTATGGCTATTTTTTTAAACAAATATGTAGGATTTTGTTATTAAATCTACAAAATGTTTTCTATAATTAAAAACTACTTATTTAATTAGTTAACAGATTACACCTGGATTAACATAAAATCTACAAATATTACAAATATTTTTTTACTGAGTAAACATAGTGTTTAATCCCATAGGATATATTGGGGAGTTTAGCGTAATTTGAGATAATTTTCCGCCCTGTTCTCGCTAGGTTTGTTTACGTTTGTCTTGCTAAACAACTGTTAAACTTTATTAACTAGATTTTGGCGCAATCTGCGAGCCGCAAGCTATTCTAGATAATAATGGATTAACAAAAGATTATGAAAACAAAACAATTTGTGTGGATCTAACCGTATATTTTCTAGAATGATAGTGGTGAGGGGTAGCATCCCTCTCGCTCGTGTTTCTACAACAACATACCTATATAAACCATGTGGAGGAAAACAGTTTTTAGTTACTTCTAAAGTTTGTTAACCTGTATAAAAAAACGGTTGATCCAGACATCCCTCTCGCTCTTGTGTGCGCAAAGTTTACCTATAAAAGCCGCCGTACAAAAGTAAAAGAAACGCCGTATACTTCTTTTAATGTTCGATTTGGTTGCTGGCTCGCGCTCGTATTTTTCGAGTCCTGAAATAAAATGAAATCGGAGCGCAGTTTGGTCGACGGGGCAATGACAGAACATCTTCTTGGAAACCAACCAAAAGAACTTTGCGGCATTCCGTGAACCTAATTTATTTAAACAGGACATACGGAAAATGTACTAGACACTGCAATGTACTTTTTGGCAAAACTTTCAGCCATTACATAAGGCAATCACATTCAATTAGGTGTGTGTTCGTTCTGTGTATCGGGTGACATTACAAAGAGGAAATCGTCATTACACAGTAGACAATTAATCAAGTTCGACTCGAACAATGACCCTAATGACAGCTTCGGTTTATTTTGCTAAAAATCGATCGTGTTTCCAAAACGCGTTGGCTGTGGATCGTTGTCAGCCAATGGCATGCTTTAAACCGTATCTCTCACCGCTGTTATCTCAGAAGATGTCTTTATAAGCTAGATGAATTTCTCTTTAAGCTAAAAGAATTTAATTCTATAAGGATTCTTTATAATTAATTTAGACAGTTTGATATCAATTTGTCTAATAACAACAACCGCTTTTCAAACGCATTGCTTACTTGACCTATGGTAACTTTCGTGACCTACATAAAAAATTTGCATAAGTTACTACAATGAGCTCATAAATTAAGCGACTATAATAGGTGATTACGTAAGTTCAACAAACTTGTTTGTGAGTTTTTGCCATTGCAGATTTTTAAATTTTCTTTATTTTTCGTTTATAATAATAAGTAATTATACAGAGATTTTTTCCCTCCCATGAAAATTTTTGAAAATATACGTGCGATCCAATAAAATGTTATTCACGGTCACGGTATTCGCCACAACAGTTAGGCAGTATATTTTTATGAAAAATTTATTCACTGAAAAAATGGACAACCATTAAAATTATTTATTTATTTTAAAATTATTTTAATTATATACAGTGTGTTTACGAAATACGGTTGTTTCACGTTCATGGCCCATTGAGAGTTTCTGAGGAACGGAAAAAGGTATCGATTTGAAATTTTTAAAGCGTTTATAATCCAATTAAGCCTATTTTTATAAAATATTTTAAACAAAATGCCAATTCCGGTTTGACCGGAAGTGACATCAACTTTGTTATTTTAAATAGAACACCTCATATATTTTTACATTTTTAAATTCTACATAAAATTTTGAGTAAAATAATTGTACCATGTCCTATACCTAAAGTGAATATTTTTCGAGTTATTAATTTTTTCCCCTAAAATTTGACAAATGTGCGTCAATCAAAAATAGCCTATAACTTTCTTGCTATTAGGTTTGCGGAAATAGGGGTGAAATTTTTGGAATCTTAAAATATTGTTTAAAAGATTCCATGTCAATTCTTTAACATTTAAAATAAAAAAGTTATTAACGTTTCAAGTTAGCCCAATTTGCCCTGGGTTTTCTTGGGTAATTTATAGAAAAAACTTAACTTAAAAAAATTGACATGAAATTTTTCCAAACATTTTACCCTCATATCCGTAATCCTAATAATCCTAGAAAACTATTCACTTTAGGTATAGGACATGGTAGGCATAGTAATTTTACTCAGATTTTAGGTAGAATTTAAAAAGGTAAAAATATATGGGGTATTTGAAATAACAAAGTTTATGTCACTTCCGGTCAAACCGGAAGTGGCATTTTGTTCAAAATATTTAAAAAAATAGACTTAATTTTTTAAATTTGTAATCGATATTTTTCCGTTCTCTAGAAACTTCCACTGGACCACGAATGTGAATCACCCTGTATATCAAGTGATGTTTTTAGTTTGTGATACCACTATAGGTAGATTAGAAAGCAATGTATAATCGTCAAACTAAAAGATCAATATTTATTTTCAACATATATTTAATATAAGATAAATACAAATCTATGTTTTATTAAAAAAAATCAAAAATTAAAACCAGAAATATTTTTTTTTACTTAAATAAATTGTTATTTTCTTTAAGTATAATTTTTGTATTATAAAACACTCAATAAAACATAAAAAAATTATAAAACATAAAAAAAAATGATTTATAACAAAATAGAGAATTAAAAAATCGTGTTGTACTGTGTTATATAACCAAAGTTCCTCTAATAAATATGTTGAAGACTTAATCTAGCAAGCTCGGTGTCCCACAGTGTTTTGTTTCACAGCCAACTAACTATACAGTAGCCGGTTAACAAACTTGTCAACCGAGACAAACTAACATCAAGCAGTTTAAGCGCTAAAACAAGAAAAAAAAAGTAAATTCCCCATAAATTAATAACAATTCCCCATTTCCTATTCTTCAAAAAAATCCCTATAAATAGGAAATAATTTCCTAATCTGGCATCTCTGGATTCAGTAGTCTAGAATTCTAATAAGACATTTTAAATCATTTTTAGATTGTATTTTTTGTATACCTACTAAATTATCTAGAAATGTATGGAATCTTGCCAAACAATTGATGTAGAAAATTAAAAGAAAAATGTCACAAATCTCGTAAGTGGCGCCAAAATAACTCATTATTTAAGTTAATTTTAAAGATTAAATATGTAAATAAATTAATAAAATACCTAACAACCTATATTTAAAATTATGTATTAAGTTTGATACACGCCATTTAGTCACGAATTTTAATTAGGCAGGAGCGAAGCTGCATACCTAGGTGTAGGTTCTTCTATGACAAATATAATAATATCTCGAATACTAATATTTAAAAATATTTAATTGCTAACTAATTCAAATATTTCTATACAAAAATATAGTAACCAAAATTGGTGTTAGGAACCTGTTTAACTGGCTCTTAAAATGTCAGTGCTGGTTTGTCAATTTTTTTAAATGGGCGTTTTAAATTTGGGAGATATTTTATTTTGTTTATTTTATAATTTGACAAAAACTCATTATTTTAAAAAACGGGTCGATAACAACCTTCTCTTTTAATTCCTTTTAATTCCTTAAGTAGGTAGGTACCTCTTCACAATATAGTACCTTACTTTAATAAAGTATGTCAATAATTTTCTTAGAACCTATATAAGTACTTATGTAGGTATTATATTATTGATAAATTTGGTTTATAAAGTCAGTAAATTTAGGCAAAATAACGTTGACAATAGCGTGGGTTTAATTTGAAATACCTTAACAAAAAAAACTGATAAAAAAATAAATGATTTGTAGGATAACTTTTATCAGTTGTTATCTAGTTAATATTTAATAATCATATAAAATAACATAAATAATTTCTATTTTAAGATAATAAAAGAGTTTGTAGGTTAATACAAATCACCTTTCTAACGTTCGAGGAAACAACTCATTGTTTTTGTTATTGTTCTCAAAAAAGTTTCAAACTATGTACCTAACTATTGTGCTAATAATAGGAGATGCACAACTCAAAAAACAAAAACAAACGACGTATTGCAAGTAGGCCACTTGATAGCAATTTTTCAGCATAAATAGACTCGAAAAACAAAACAAAAAAGTACTCACCATCCTTCATATTTTTAGGTTGAGTACTGGAACCTCCGCTACAATGACTTTTGTCAACCGTGCAATACATAATAACACACTTTTTCACTACGAATAAAGTCACTCTCACCGAACCAAAATTAACATAATTGTGTGTTTAACGAAATTAGTTTTATGCAAACTTATCAATCATATCACACGAAGAACACTGCCATAATTCGGCGGCCATCACTATTTTTGTTTACATTGCGCTATGCAGATGGCGTTAAACCTGCTTTTGTTTGACCTTGATTATTCAACGTGTTGCTAAATATTTAACCAATAAAACACCAATATCTTAAAAGACTCGGCCTAAACATAAAAATCCCTTAATAACAACGAATATTGCTAATAAATGTTAACAAAACTCGATTATATTCAATAAATCAACGAAAAAACTGTTTTTCAAACCAAGTGAAACCTCCTATAACAACAAAAATTACGTTGGTATTACTGCCTACCATCGGAATGTTGCCAGGTCTACTTTTTTTCAAATTTAAGGCCTATAAATCTGTTAAACTTTTAGACTTTTAGCTACTGTTCTACCAATTAAATGCTAAAAAATTTTAGTTTTAGTTAATTTGCGAGTTTGAATTCACGGTGTTGTACAATAATTTGCTACCTGACCGTGAAACTAACCTGGCAACGCTACGCATATTTTATGTTGCCAACGTAACGTTGGTGTTCTTTGGTTGGTGGCACTGCCCAACTGTCACTTCAAAAAAATGTCTCCGTGTCATTTAGGTTAGAATTTCCGTTTTTTCACCAAAATTAATGCTTAAACTGCTAAAATGGCCATAAGCAAAACAGTGGTGTTGGATCCCGAACCAGACAAACCTAAAATAACAATTCTATGTCTGGATATAACGAGTTTTTCTCAAACAAGTCAGTTTTTTATTAGTTCTCTGGCTGTGTTTGTTTTTTTTTTGCTCTATGGGTATATGCAAGAGTTAATATTTACGATAGATGGGTTTCAACCATATGGGTGGTTTTTAACATGTCTACAGTTTGGTTTATATTCAATATTTGGATTTATTGAGACTAGAATAAGAAGTTTGAGATCGCGAATGTAAGTCAATTTTAGGTTGATATAACTATCTAAAAGCATACAATATTTGGACATATTACCTTATTTAATTTTAATACCTACATTTTGTTAGGATTCCCATACAGACGTATTTTTTATTGGCACTGCTAACATTGGGAACTATGGGTTTGTCGAATGCTTCTCTGGGATATTTAAATTATCCCACACAAGTAATTTTTAAGTGCTGTAAATTGATACCTGTTCTAATTGGTGGAATTTTGATACAGCAAAAACGGTATGGACCTTTGGATTTTATAGCTGCAGTTTTAATGTGTGTGGGATTAACATTGTTTACTTTGGGTTTGTAGATTTTTAGACTAACATTTTACATATAAAATTACTATTTAGAAGTTCTACTAGAGTAATGATCTATTTAATTTAGGCATACAACATACTCTAAAAATTATTAAAAAATCATTTTTAGCTGATTCTCAGGTTCAACCAAATTTTAGTACAAAGGGTATTATTATGATATCACTGGCATTATTATGTGATGCTATTATAGGAAATGTACAGGAAAAATCAATGAAAAAGTATGGTGCCTCAAATGCCGAGGTGGTTTTATATTCATACTTTTTTGGGTTTATTTTTATTTTTTTCGTGATGATTCTTTCTGGGGAATTTATGGATGGAGTCAATTTTTATGCTAAGGTAGTAATTTTCTGAATCTTTCTTAAAAATGTTCCTTTATTTATTGTGTTGTTTTTTTTTTAATTTAGAACCCAAGAAAAACCTATGGTTATACATTTTTATTTTCCTTGACAGGATATTTGGGAATACAAATAGTTTTAACTCTTGTTAGGACAACTGGAGCTTTTACTGCAGTTACAGTAACAACTTGTAGAAAAGCTGTAACAATTATGATGTCTTTTATATTCTTCAACAAACCTTTTACTATACAGTAAGTACCATCAGTTTTTGTTTAATACAATTTTCTCAAAATAATACAAATGTAATTTAAACTAAATTTATAAAAAGGCATATTTTGGTCTAAAAAATATATATTGGTGTCTGCTGGTTCAATAATAAAACAGGGGTCCATATAACCAATCTATTTATTTATTTAATTATTTATTTTAACCAGTGCAATTAGTAGTAATAATTACTACTAATTACCAAACAATATTTTTAATTTTTTTTAGATATATCTGGTCTGGTTTGCTGGTTTTATTTGGAATTTACATGAATTTATACAACAAAAAACATCCATTGTCACTATCAGAATTGGAACATAAAATGGAGCAGAGTCTATATAAATTTAGGAATATAATACACAGAAGAAAGTTAAGGGATGGACAATATTTGTCAGTGTAAATAAACTATGGTAATATTATTTTTTATATTTTTTTGCTCAAAATATTTTATGGGATTTTTATTTTGGAAGGAAATTAAACACATTTTTACGGAGTATTGTACCTACCAAGTTTTATATTTAAATTAGTTTTTCTACGAACTTCAGTAAAAGTGTATACGACGTGATTTACTTTTAACACTGGTGCAAAAAAAAAAGAAAAAAAAACCGCGGGGAGAATTTAATTTTCTTCATCACTTTCCATGACTAAAAATATGAAGTTACTTCTCACTTTTAATGGTGTTTGTAGAAAAAAAATTGCAGAGGATTTTACTCGGGATTTTTAGTTTTTAGCTAATTTAAATTTAATACCTAATAGCACATTTTTTTGCAAAAAATATTTAAAATTAGCTAAGAACTTGCCATGTTAAAAATGCTCTGTAAAATTTTTAAATATCATAAATAACTATTATGCCAAAGTTTTAATTAATTTTAATTTATTAAGTCACAATATAATAAAGCAATAAATACAATTTAATTTTTAATATCTTTGGAACCTGTATAAAATAATGACACAACTTATATAAATAAAACTACTTTTTTACTTTTTCCAAAAATACTTTAAAACGATCAGTTTTATGAGTTTTATACAGGGCGTCCCACTAAAGCCATACAGGACACCCTGTATATTTTTAAAAGTTTTCTGTGATTATATGTAGTCTTAAATACGAACTTGTTCCTATAGTTGGTATATGAATTATGAAAAAACTAATAATATTAACAAAAATTAAATACTTAATTAGGTATAATAATTAATGAAATTGTGTATAAATAAAATATGAAACAATACATAAAAAGTCTTTTAATTATAAAATATCTTATGGGTGGTTTTAAAACGAATAATTTTTTTAGTAATTTACATTTGCAGATCTATTTATTATTTGTAAAACCTTGTGCATTAAAGTTTTAAAGTTTCCGGAAAAATTGAGCCGGCGTAAAACGGAAAAAATTGTGAAATTTTCGAAAAATTTACTTTTTCATTTTTTCCGTCTTATCCGTAGAACGAATTTTTAATTTGTTTTCCCAATTTTTACGTTTAAGATTTTTCTGTGCGAAAAAAAAATTTTCGGAATTAAAAAAAAAATTGAACATCCTTGAGCCAGTTTTATATAGAAGCGAAATGCGAAAAATGCTCCCATTGGTCCATTTGATTTTGCGGGAAATGCAATTGCCTATCATACTTACGCCATTTATGTTTATTTCGTTTCTATCGTAGTGTTTGTTTTGTGGAGTTTTATTCGAACTGTTTAAATAAGTGTTTGAAGTTTTTTTTTGTTTTTTATAATGGACAAAGAGTTTTTGAGGTAGGGTAAACCACATAGTTATTGGACACTTAAGGAATATTATTTAAGAATATTTTAATTTTTAATAAAAGTTATATAAAAACATGTAAAAAAGTATATTAATTGGACATTTTATATAGTAATTGGACACATATGGACCATACTTATTTTTTATATTTATGTACCTATGTAAAGTTGTTATGGTTATAAACATAACAACTTTACATCAAATAACATAAATTGCAATGGTATCTCTAATTTGTGAAGCATTTATAATGTTTAAGCCGGAACAGGATGATTTATAGGTATATATCTAATATTTTTTCGGGTGGTATGTGGAAAGTATTTTCCGAATTTATTAATTTTGTTGCCATTAGTTTTTTATGTTCTTTATCATGCAATGTATTTAAATCAGTGTTATTCTGCAAGATGTCCTGTGACGAAGAAATCACTATATTACTTACTTTATAAAAATAAATTAGTCAAAAGCAGCCACTAATTATTCTCGTCAACAGCAATTTAGCAGTCAATTCCTATAAAATATTATACGCTGAATGCGAAAATGTCGTCAAAAGTTATAAAAGTAGAACAGTTTTTGAAATATAATCAATTTTACATATAATATGGAATTGACGATATCTCAAAAACTGCTTAACTTTTATAGTTTTTGATTTTACATAAGAATTGGCTGGTAAATGTCCGGAATACAAATAGATTAGACATAATAATAGAAATTTGCATTTTATAGCAACCAGTAATTTGACACTGGCCATTTTACTGTTTGTTTTCAGAATTAAAATTAAAACGCATTAAAGTGACAATGTTTAAACCATGAGGAACACATTTATACCACACACTGATCTGTACACGTTTTAGAAATATTTTTTATTGTAATTTAATCACATCTCTGCTCTTAACAAAAAAAACAAAAATCTTACCACCAAAGTAGCGTGCGAACTTTTTTGTCCTATATTGGACCCAAAATAAAGTAGTTCTATATTACTCGTATTACCGACTGAGATAGTTATAATTGTATACTGCGTCATCTAATGATTTGACTTTAAGGTAAACTATTTATAGAACTCTTGTTTTTACAGTATTAATGTTAATTGTCCAATAACTATAAAGTGTTCGATAACTGTCCACTTTACCCTACAATAATGTTTCTTACTATTGTAGTACCTAAAATAGCTTGGAAAATATCGCCTAGTAAGAAATCAATGTTCCTAAATGGTTCGCATCTATATGAAATAGGAGTTGCAAAATACGAATTTTCGCATTTCGTAAAAATTAAGTATTTGGGCGAATTTTCGTTAAATGTACATTTTGTATATATATTTTGTCCAGGCAGGTCAATTTGATCGATTTTTTTTCCTTTGTGATAGAACAGTGTGCAAAAAAATTCTATAAGTTTATAAATAACAAAAATAAAATTTAAAGAAATAAAACTTATAGGGTTAATCTGAAATAGGAAAGAAACACAAGCTTGTGTTTGTGTTCCTAGGAAACATTGTCCTCCTCCTAACGCATCTTCCTGAACGTTTTATGACACATTGCTTTTGACTTTTTCAAACGTTATTTTTCAGAGATACTGTTAAATGTAAATATCTTTCGGCATTTGTTTGGAATTTCTACTATGCTATAATACAAAATGAAAATATAAAAGTTAACTTCTAAAACAAGAGTTGCATGTAGCGTTTTGTAAAAGACACCAAAAGTGTACGCAAAAAAATCTTACCTTTAAGATATTTACAAAAAAATTCACACACTTTACACGTGCTCACTTGTTGTTGCCAAACTATCAAACATGTATCTAGAAATAACACGATAGTATCTCTATCTCGTGTCTCTATTTCGAAGCAGTCGGCATAGAAGACTACGTTAGGAAAAAGACAAGATTTTTGAATGTCAACTTTAATATTTTTTTCTGTTTAAACTACTTTGTAGAAAACTATTTTATTTTTATATACGAATGAAAGAACTTTCCATTGTTCAAAAATAATTTATTTTTTCAGAAGAAACCTGCAAAGAAGAAGAATATAATAATTTAAATTAAAAAATCGCCTGTGGGGACCGTTAGATTACAGGACATTTCACCTAGTTTTTCTGCCACATAGAAACATAAAGTAATTAAAACAAAAATACGATGGGTCCTAACAGGAAGGGGGTATTTAAATATAAATAAATACAAAACTTATCAACAAAGGTCAAAAATAAAAATAAAATTAGCTGGGGACAGCAAATGTACATTTAACGAAAATTTGCCCATTTAGTTTCTGATAAATTTAAAAAACATCAATTTTAAAAGGTTCGGAGAAAAAACGAGAAAAAAACAATTTGTGCGTTTTTTTCGACGCGTCGCTTTACAACTTTTCTGATGACACAAACTGCTCTTTGTATTGCAACTCACTGGAGACAGAGAAGGTGTCGAAGTAATCGACTAGATGATCGAACGTGGGTCTTCTTTCCATCCTCACGTCCCAGCATTCCAGCATTTTCTGATAAATTTCCTCCGGGATATTGTACTTCTCCGGCTTCGGCATTCTGTAACCCATCTCCAGCAAATCCAGGAGCTCGCCAGGTGCTATACCGGGGTACGGGTTTCTGCCGTACGTAAAAATTTCCATCAGCAGGATCCCGTAGGACCACACGTCGGACTTGATGGTGTACTGCCCGTACTGCAAGGCCTCCATGGCCGTCCACTTGATGGGGAATCGCAGGTTGCTCTGCAGGTTGTAAAACCCGTAGGGTATGAGGCGAGCCAGGCCGAAATCGCAGATTTTCGCCACGTTGTTGTGGTTCAGAAGAATGTTTCGGGCTGCTAGATCCCGGTGCACCAGCAATTTCGATTCGAGGTGTTTCATTCCTTTTGCCACTTGCACCGCTATCAGGATGGACTCGTCCAGTTTTATGCCGCCATCTTTTTTCTCTCTCAGCCATTTTTGTAGGCAACCTACAACAAAACCAAAATAACGTTTGCCATGTTTCAAACAACGTTTATAATAATTGATTCATATCACTACTAACACTGTTAGTACGACAGTATCACTTGCACACGTCAGACGTACAGTCCGCGCGTTATAACTTAGCGAGAACGTAATTTCAAGTTCAGTATTCAATTTTTACTTTTAATTTTTTAGCCTATTTGTTTAATTTATTGTATGAAAACCCTGATTTAAATGACCGATTAATTCCTTATAGAAACCAATTGAAGTATTGGTTGGTATCAATGGGTCTGAATTGGACTTACTGGAATTAATTGGGCGCAATATAAAACAGAAATTGGTTTTTTCTGCTATTTTCCATGATGGAAAAGTCCTATTAGGATTCTAATGGTTTTTATTGGTTTCGATTGGATAAAGCTACCTATGGTAATTTCCAATTGAATTCAATTGGGCATTACCAGTGTAAGATTCGAAAAATCTGCTAATTGGTTATTCCCAATACAATACAAATATCGCAAGAGGGCTCTCGTGTAGCTGCGAAAAATCAACGAAGTTGAGACGCCATCATAAAGAAAAAACAACAAAAAGTCTTTGGACGCCATTTATTAGCGTTTTTTTTATTAGTAGATTTCGGTGTTAAATGCCTAGTGTTAGTAGTGTACTTATATATATATATATATATATATATATATATATATATATTAAAAAAATGTTTATGTGTAAGGTTTAGGGACGATGACGTAAGAATGTCACAGCGGACAAAATAAAAAAATTTGACATAAACAATATCAACTTCGACCATGCCTAAAAACATCCTTTGCAAGAAAGACAAAAAAAATGATTATAACCGAGTAATTTTATTTAGTTTTTGTTACTTTTTTTGTGATAGTAAGTTATATGTATCAATACATATATATATATATATAAAAAAAAAAAATAAAGAAATAAAATTACTCATTAACAATACATTTTTTGCCTCTTCTGAGAAAAATGAATTCTAGTTTTTACCCGGTTATTTTTCTGGGATCTAAAATTATTTTTGAATGAAAAATAAACTGGTAGGTATTTTCTAATCCAAATTTTAAAAAAATTATTGGTTGGAATGGGTTTGGCGCTATGAATTACCAATTCATTCCATGTGCATTTCTATTGGATTTAGCCAATAGAGATTGGTATTTTCCAGTTCAAGCCGCTGACTTTATTAGAAATTACCAATAGGAATTCAACTGGAATGAATTGGTAGATTCATAGCGCCAAAACACATTTCAAACCAATTACTTATTTTTTATTGGATTCTATTAGTATTTTCCAATTCAAGCCGCTGACTTCATTGGAAATTACCAATAGGAATTCAACTGGAATGAATTTCAAACCAATTACTTATTTTTTATTGGATTCTATTGGTCATTTACAATAGGGAAGTGTACCCAAATTTCATCGTATCGCAAAGTAGTATAATCTTAAAAGTTACCTTATAATTATATAAATACGTACAATATATTTTATGTAAAATATACAATATAATAACAAAGCAGTAGGTATATTTTTAAAAGGTACCTTAATTATAATTATATACTATTATATACCTAAATACGTATATAACCGCGGTTATTTTTGGTAATGTTTCATTTCGCGAAATGAAACATTACCAAAAATAATCTAAGAAGCAATATTATCAAGTGAAGAAGTAATGGCGGATACGAAAAATACACATAATAAAGTTCTTGGAAGTCAAACTTAAGAAATTATTTCTCATGTTTTTAATTATTTTAAAAATAATAAAACTGAGGAAGAGAATCTCAGTGCTTTTTGTTTTTTTTCAGGTGTTTTTTTTCATTGTTTTTTTTTCATATTTTAGGTTTTTTCAAGATAAGTCCCATTTGCCTAATTTTTTATGTTTCCAGTCCAGTTCATAGACTAAAATTTAGCCACTAAATGACATTTAGTAAATTTAAATACGAGGTGTGTTAAGAAAATAACGGTGTGTTAGTAAATTACGGGAATTGTTCGCGGGTTCAGAGCACATATTTAGAGAAATAAATATGTGGTTCAGAGGGTCCGGTTGTCATAAAATTTTCTTTATTATGTTGGTATACATGCCCCCGAAGTATGATAAAAACTTTAGTTGTTTTCATTGTTTACTTTGTATGTGGCAGCCGCTAAGATTAGAGTTTTATGAGCTCGGCGATTTTTCGTTCTTTAAAAAAAATGGATCAAAGAATTTGTATCCATTTTTCTTAAAAAATGAAATAAATTCTGTGAAATGTTAACAAAGGCCTATAGTGAGTCTGCTATAAGTAAAACAAGAGTTTACAAGTGGTATAAGAGTTTCTAAGATGGCCGTGAAGACGTTGAAGATGACGAACGCCCCGAACGCACAAGCACATTAACAACCGATAAAAACATGGAAAAAGTGGAAGAAATGGTTATAAACCATCAGAGAAGTCGCTGATGATGTTGGTATATCGATTGGCTTATCCCATGAAATTTTTTCGAATGTTTTGATATGAAACGCGTGGCAGCAAAATTTGTTCTAAAATTGTTAAATTTTGAACAAAATTTTTGGCCAAAAACAATACTGTAATGAACCATATTCGCCAGACATGCCTCTGTCTGACTTTTTCCTATTCTCAAAAATAAAGAGAACCTTAAAGGGCCGTCGTTTTGCAAGCATAGATGACATTAAAAGCGAATCGCTGAAAGAACTAAAGGCTATCCCAAAGATCGAGTTTTAGAAGTGTTTCGAGTATTGGATGAAGAGCTGGCACATGTGCATTATATCCAATGGGGACTATTTTGAAGGCGACAACATTAATGTTCACGAATAAATAAATATTTCAAAAAACGAAAATTCCCGATATTTTCTTAACACACCTCGTACAGTCTCGCGCTATGCACGCGCCACCACCACTGAATTGGCCAATAAGGGCCGCGCTTGTTTTGATTCAGCGCTTGATTTTAGAAAAAACTACCAAATTCATGATTTTTCAAATTCTTGTGGAGTAAGGAATTTTTTTTTAAACAATATCAAATTCTTGTAGAACATTTATTCAAGTTTTTAACGGGTAACATTAGAAAAGCCATAGAAAAACCTATGAGAAAAGCTAAGAGAAAGAATTGGAGAAGACATTGGCTGGAATGGATGTAAAACTTCTCTTAGAAAAATATTACACAACATCTTAATTAATAATACAATCTTTACCACAAACGTAGAAAACAGAACGCTCGGGCAACACATTAACTAGAATTATTAGACAATTTTCGCATTACTTAGCAAACATTAAAAAAACTATCAAAAACTATCGATTACAGTAGTAGTAGTTACATTGCAGACTATCGAAAACTATCTGTCGATAGTTCACGACCTCCAAACTGAAGAAATGGTTTCGCACAATGGTGCAAACAATTTTAAGTTTAACAAATGTTAAAGGTATTTTTAAAAAGGTGTAGGTAATGACAAATCTAGAACTCACCTTTGGACATATACTCTTGTATAATATAGATAGGTTTTTCCATGGTACAAACACCAAACACAGCTACAATATTCTCATGCTGAGATTGTCGCATAATTTCAGCTTCTCTGATAAAATCTTCCGTGGACATACTTTCGCCTATCATGGTTTTTACCGCTACTTTCAACTTGTCCTGCCATTTTCCCAGAAACACTTTCCCAAAAGCTCCCTCGCCCAATTCCCTGACGATCCTGATTTCGTCCCTCGGGATCTCCCATTTATCCTTGTTGCCGTATCCCAGAACCCATAGTGTCGGCTCGATTTTTTTGCAAGGCCTTTTTAGAAGAGCTGTTTTCAACAAGGTGTCTAAAATGGAGAAAGAAAGTCTACATCTACATTTGGCGGACATTTTCTACAAAAAATTAAACATTTTACTAGGTACATAGTTTATTATCTTCGTAAAGTTGTAGTAGATTTATTATGCCTAATAAATTGTCATCCTTTGGAAAGTTTTTTCTTTATCATTTTTGAATTAGAGGTACTGTTTTTTAATAAAAAAAATATGAATTTTTTTTGACAAAACTAAGGAGCCACTGGATGTCACTGACCTATACTATATATCATCATTGTTTTTCATCCAAGCAAAATTTTTTTTAAACTTATTCAAAATCGGTTAGTAGGTACTTTGTTATCATTGATTACTGACAGTTCGGTTGTTATTGTGGTTTCTCTGGGGCTACATGAACAGTTTAGTGAACCAGAGCGAAGTTGACACATTAGAACACCGCGAACTTGTTACTGCAGCGGCAGATGAAATCCAAAATCAACCGGATATGATAGCAAAAGCCACACATCATAATTTTATTCGCCTCTGTCAACTTTGTGTGGATAATAACGGCGAAATAGTTAAACATTTATTATGATTTGGTGGAACACACTTTTTCGTTAATATTTTGATTATCAATTAAATTATTTTGCCTTGAATCTATTTTGGATGTTCAGTATATTTTTGACGTTTTTTGTCAAAAATATACAGGGACTCCATACAAAGTAATCGGTAGATAAATATCAAATAGAATTTTTTTGTTCCATTCTAGCCGTATACTACCACTTTTCTGCAGAGAAGTGCTTTATTAAATCCCAAAACTAAAATTATAATGTTTTTTTTGGTCAAAAGTATCATTTTTTGAAATTTTTGTGTCGTTTTTTTAATAACTAATTAAATTGAAAAGGCAACAAAGTAAATGGGTTTCCGTATAAACATTACTCTTCGACTTTTATTTGATATTTTTTTATTCACATCATGCCTAAAGTACCCAAAAATTCCCAAAAAATCTCCAATTTTATTTATTAAGTCTTATCAAAATTTAATATAGAATTGAAATTGAAGGCGCCTTTATCTACTTTATCGTTCAAGCACATTAAAGTGCATCTATTAATTTTTTACATTTAAAAATTAAACTTAACTTTTACTTGAAAGTGATTTTAAGAACCAAAAATGAAAAAAGAGCAGGAAATGGAAGTGACAGAGGAAGATAAAGGAGACGACCCTTTATGTCGTCGTTGTAAATTTGTTTTGTTTTTGTTGCGGTACCTTTACACCCAAGAAAAACCAACGCAATATTTCATTACAAAATTTTATGAGATAGGTATTCCTTCTACTTTAATTTTGCAGGAATATTAAATGGACCTGATTTACGACGTTTAATGAAAGATCAAGCATTCAAAAATGTTATCAAAGTTGACGAGCTTGTCGCATATGGCAGTGTTAAAGCTGTCATTGAAAATGTTCTTGGTTCATATCGGGCCTAAAATTGGCGCCAATTCATTGAAAAAATGCTCTCCTTTATAAAGAATTAGCGTTAATATGTCATTTAAAATACATTTTCTTTTTTTTCATCCTGATAAATTTGCGAAACTGATGAACATGGAGAACGATTTCACCAAGTAACTGCAAATCTAGAGCATTGATAGGAGACATTTGCTGGAATTTGCAGCAAAAGATGTACGACGATGATGAGGATTAAGCACAATAATACTATAATTCAATAAAATATTTGATACGATTTAATAAATTTAAGGTAGAAAAATGCATTTAATTTTGTGGGCTTAATTTGGATAAAAAATACCGAAACTTGTTTACTTTGTTGCCCTTTCAATTCAATAATTAAAATAAACGACAAAAAAGTCAAATAATGTTTTTTTACATAATAGTATATTACACTACAAGGGCAGAAAGTGTGAGATTCCTGCACTGCGCGCCATAATGCCCGAGGCGAAGCCGAGGGCATCATGGCGCGCAGTTCAGGACTCTCACACTTTCATAGTGTATACTATTTTTCTTGCTACCCCGCAGAAAATACGGGAAAAAATTAAATGTATATAAAAAAACTTGTGTCAAAATTAAAATCTGACGTTTAATTTAATTCTGACGTTTACATTCAAAATCAATCAAACTGTAGCGTTGTCATGGTAATTCAGCGGTGCCAATACAGTAAAAATAAAAGGTTGTATTTTAATTAACAAATTACTACTTTATAACAAATAAAAGTACCATTAAACACTTAAAACAACATAAAAAGTAAAAAAGTAAAAACATAAATTGTTTATTTGTTGTTATAATTGCAAAATTATGGTTTAAAACTGTCATATTTTTGTGTTTCTCATGTTGGCAGTACGAAATTTGAATTGTGCTTAACGACTAAAAAATTTTTACTCCCGCTATTAGAGTGTGCGCGTATAGCTTGAACAATGCAAGAAACGTAAACTTTCTGCCGTGAAATCGGGGACGAAACAACGTATTTTGAGTCGAGGTAGTAAGAAAAATACATTAAAATTTTAGTTTTAGTATTTAAAATGTCATATTGTTAAGATAAATATGATCTATTTGCCTTATACCAATTACTTCACTACATTCAAGATAAATTTGAGCCAAAATAATTTAATAAATAGGTAATTAAAATACTAACAAAAAACTTACATTTTGAGGTGATTGAGCAGAGCATTTTATTACGAAATTATTTTAAATCCTAGACGTCCTATAGGAAAGAAAAACTAATGACATTTTTAAAGCGGCCCAAAATTAGTTAAACTAAGCTCAATGTTGGGAAATTTTTTTTTTCTAAAACTATCAAAGTTGAATGTAGATTATTGCCCACAGTTTTCATAGGTCAGGAACAACCAGGGGCGGCTCAAAATTCCTACTTTACTTTTACAAAAATTTTAATGATTTTCAAAAAAAAACTTTCTTATTTTCTTATTTTGGCGTGTACTATCATCCCCTTTAAAAATGACAACTTATTTGTTGACAATAAATACCCATTTTTGAAATAAAAATGCCACTTCCTTTCTAGATGATACTATTTTATACAAAATTAATTTTTAATTTATTTTCATACCTATAAGCTCTTCCAATGTTTCAAATTCTTGATCGGTTATGGTGTACTTTCTATTACCATTTAATTTGATTTTAAAGTGTCTGACATGGTCTATCTTTGATTCGTCCTGATGTTTTAGAGAAATAGAGTAACCATAAGGATTGTTTTCAGATCTTCTGACAAGAAATGTCCCTGGTTCCTGTGAAAATAATAACGCTTCTGCTTGCAATCTTGTCGTGTTGTCAAAAAACCATCTAAAAATATTAATTAAGTAAAAAAAAGCATTACTCTTTTGTGCTTACTCTTTGCTGGCCAAATCTTCCTCGTTAGCGACGAAATTCCCAGGGATGAACCCTTTCTCCAAAGTCTTTAAATTACAAGCGAAAATCCAGTTTCCAGTGTCATGTAACACCGTCATCCTGTCGCCTTTTTGAAAACTAATTTCATGCGAATCTCTGGCTTCGTATTCGTACATTGCTACGACTATTTTTTCGCTCGTGTTTATTTTAGCTTTATCGAGCTCTACAACTTCAGATTGCGAGTACTCGTTCATTTTGGTGGCTTCGCGGTTCGTCCACGACGCGGTGCTATGCGTTGAAGAAGTTTTCGTGCTTGTTTGTTTGTTAATTTTCCCCGTCTCAACATCGTTGATTTCGGCCACAAGGTCATGAAGGTCGGCCACTGAAAAGATACATATTTAAAGGACTGAAGAAGAAAAAAAATTTATAAACAACCATTACCAACTTTTGGAATCAAAAAAGAAGAGTACGTTTATTTGCTCGAGTTCAAATCTGACATAGATCAGAAAAAACTTGCTTCCAACAGACCATCAGCAAAGGCCAGCGCATGTTGGATATTTTGGAAGAAGGAAACCTAATATACATGGTGGGACAATCTTCAGAGTTGCCAAAAATTGTTTGGAAATGGAAGTTGTGACTGTTTTAAAGAGGCCTTCTTGCTTACCGGATCTTAATCGAATTGAGAACTTGTGGAATAAGGTTAAAAGAAGGAATATAGCCCTGGCAATGCAGAGAACCCTGGCGAAAATGAAATGTGCAAAAAGTGTGCAAAATTATTTGAGAACAATGTGCCAACAATGAGCAATCTTTAAAAAAAATGATGTGCGGAGGGTGGGAAATGGAACATGAAACAATGTGCAAAACCAAAAATTTAAAAGTGTGAATAATCACTGGACAATGTTCTAAAGGGAACTCCTTTTGATTTTTCACATTGTTTGCACACTGTTTCTTGCCACCTGTGTGTCTTTTTTTATTTACACATCCTTGAAATATAAATATCCTTATAATAATATTAATCAAATAAATATTTTTTTCAAAAAAATTTAAAAAAAAATACCCACAATGTAGGTCCTACATACTGTATTTTATTAAGAAAAATACCTGCACTGTCAACTCCACTAAGGGGATTTCTTTGATCTTAGCAATAGGCCGAGAAGCGATACATAAGATGGAATCTACCTCACCTTTTAAATAAATGTTCTACCCCAACTCAAGCGAGATATATCTAAAATGTGCTTAAACTGTTGAGTGATCGCTAAAACTGTACAAACAATGTGCTATAAAAAGGTGTAATACAAGCGTCATAAATGAGAAATATTAAAGCGTGCTAACAGTGTGTATAAAATGTGACATGCGTAATAGACTGAAGCTTTGCAAAATGTCTTTAAACAATGTACTAACACTGTGCAAACAATGTGCTAAAATATAATGTAATATAAGCGTGACATGACAAATAAAAAGCGTGATGTCAATGTACAGGGTGATCCCCTATAATGTCGCCCCCCTTTAACTTTTTTATTTTAAGTGTCCCAAAAAATTTAAAGGTGTGGTTATGTAGGAACTAAACAATACTTTTTTTCTACGTATAAAGAAAATTGGAAAATTGATCAGTATACAGGGAAAACCAAAAAGTTTATTTTTTTTTTCAATGGATCACCCTATATTTGAATTTATTTTTCGATTCCTTGTAAAATTCTGAGCATAATTTATATACAAACCATATACCTAAATTTAACCGTTTCTGAAATATTCGCATTCGAAATGTCAACATTAAATGTTTTTTAAACTGTTAAAAATCAAGAAGTCTCAGTATACCAAAATTTTTATTGAAAATAAATTACTATAGTGACATTATGTCAATAAGTGTTGTTAAATAAGTAAAAATGGCGTACTCAGACAGAGAAAGACAAACTATTTCAACTTATTATCTTAAAAATAATTTAAATATTTCAGAAACGGTTGAATTTAGGTATATGGTATGATAGGTATATAAAATATGCTTAGAATTTTACAAGGAATCGAAAAATAAATTCATATATAGGGTGATCTATTGAAAAAAAATTAACTTTTTGTTTTTCCCTGTATACTGATCAATTTTCCAATTTTCTTTATACGTAGAAAAAAAGTATTGTTTAGTTCCTACATAACCACACTTTTAATTTTTTTGGGACACTTAAAATAAAAAAGATAAAGGGGGCGACATTATAGGGGATCACCCTGTACATAAAGTGAAAAAACTGAATTATTTCAAAAAGTGTGAAATTACCACAAAGTAGCGTGTATGCACATTGTTATAAAGACTTTCACTCCAAATACACACTTATTGCACGCTTTATTTTCGCCAGGGAAACTAATAAAAGCAGTTTTAGAGGGGTGAGAAAATGTTTTCAAAGAAGAAATTCGCAACTTCCCAGATAACAGTTTGAGGTTCATAATTGACGCATATTGCAGTCACAACGTGATTCTTAATCCGCACGTATGTCACATATAATGCATATATATATTTGCCTCATCAATTGAGGTTCATATAGCCAGCACATGTGATGGTTGAAGAAATTTTTCTGGGCATGATTACCAGGTGGATTTTGGACTTCAACTTTAATTAAAATTAGGTATCTTTTTATAAATTCATAAATAAATTAATGATAAATTAATTTATAAATGTGATCTTAAGTCTGCTCTTGACGCTTGAAGTGTAAGCATATGCTCATCGATCTCTCTTAAGCAGCGTATACGATACAAATGTAGTAACGTGATAACTGGTTAACGCCGTAAAATAATAAAAAATCAATCGATTCTAAACGTGATAACTGTCCCAAGTGCAAAAGAGTGCAAATTGTGTGTGGTACCTCCCCCATTGATTAAATCCTCAAGTGTTGGACCTGGTTAAAAGGTGTGAGAGAGACGATCACTTCCACGAAATTTACTGGACTACCACACGTGCGAGCGGCATGCGAAATGGTTCAATTCCAGCACCAAATGGTCAAGCTAAGTTGTTTTTTCCAATTGCATGTCTTACCGTATATTCGCTAAATGTTTATAAAAGCATTTTACAATGTTTATGTAAGCATTTCACAATGTTGCAAAAAGAAAATACTAAGAATTCTTTTATTGTCTCAAAAACTAAATTAAAAAAGAATAAGAACATTTCCTTAAGTTTAAACAAACAACCTCATTTTCTCATAGCAGACAAATCATAAACAACCATCGAAAAAGGCGTAAGATAAATAAATAAATAAACTAAACATGCAAGAAGACAAAAATAACATAAACAAGTTGAGTGTGAATAGCAGTATTGCCAGATGTAAAAGTTGAAATTAACGAATTGGGTAAATAAAATTATCGAATTTTCGGAAATTAAGTTACAATAATTGTAATAATTATGTAACAATAATTATACATTACTGTCAATATTTTACTAAAGAAACTCACATATCGTATCCTGTATATGGCGAGATTTTTTGTGGAGGCGATGTAAATATTGATTTAACAAAGGATAATAGCGAAACAATAAAATTTATGGAATCAATAGATACGTTTAATTTAAGGCAAATAGTAAATAGTCCCACCCGTTTAACAAAATCCTCAGCCACTCTTTTGGATATAATTCTTATTCCTAATCGGTTTGATAACTGTAGCAGTGGAACTAAGGAAGTGTTTAATGTATCAGATCATTTGTTATGTTTTTGTTCATTAAAACTAAAGGTTGAAATTAACGAGCCCAAAATTATTAGTTCGAGAAATTTAAAGAGAATAGATAAGGATCTGCTTTTGGAATTTTTATCGGTTTCTCCTTTTTACAATATTTTATTTGACAACAATGTTAACAATAAGGTAAAAATATTTAATGATATAATATTGAACATCTTTGATACACTAGCGCCTCTAAGGAAACTAACCATTAAAAAATTTAAGCCACCTTGGTTAACTGATAACATTGCCAGACTAATGAAATTAAGGGATAAAGCGTTAAATAAATTTAAAAGGACCAAAATGGAGAATCACTGGACATACTATAAGAGCTTGAAAAATTTTACCACCAATGCCATCAGAGTTGAAAAAAAAAGTTATTTACAATTTTGCATTGATAAACACAAAAACAAAAACAAAGCACTATGGGATACATTAAATATTCTTGATATACATAAAAAAAAAAAATCCATTCAGCTTCCAGACTTAATTAATAATCCTAATAATATTAATAACTTTTTTCTTCAATTTTCTCTAAATAAAACCCCTGATGCTAAATTATTAGACTTCTATAATAAAAATAAATTAAATAGCTTAAATTCACCTTTTTATTTTAAATTAGTATCAGAACAAACTATATACAAATATATTTTGGAAATAAAAACTAAAGCCGTAGGTGTAGACGAAATAAGTATAGACATGATATTGTTATGTTGTCCTTATATTCTACCATATATCACAAACATTCTTTAATTAATTCATGTTTGCTAGATTCTGTGTTCCCAGATATCTGGAAAATTTCTAAAGTATTTCCTTTGCCAAAAAAAACTAATATTTCCAGCTTGGATGAACTACGGCCCATATCAATTTTACCTGTTTTGTCTAAAGTCCTAGAAAAGATCATTAACTTTCAAATCAGAACTTATATTAACAATAACAACATCTTACCTTCTTGTCAATCAGGCTTTAGAAAAGGTTTTAGCTGTGCTACAGCTCTTCTGGATGTTGTGGATGATATTTTAAAAGAGGTTGATAAAGGTAAAACATCAATTTTAATACTTTTGGATTATTCCAAAGCCTTCGATACTATAAACCACAATATACTCCTTTCTATTCTTCATTTTATTGGATTCTCGGAAGAATCCAGAAAACTTATTAAAAACTACTTAAGCCAAAGAAAGCAATTTGTCGAAACAAACAAAGGCAAATCTAGTGAAGAGTTTGTAGTTTGCGGTGTTCCTCAGGGTTCAATTTTAGGTCCCTTGTTGTTTTGTTTGTATACGTCTAATTTCATCAACAACTTAAATTATTGCAAGCCTTATCTATATGCTGATGACACACAACTGATGTACTCATTCCTACCATCACAAATGCTTCAAGCTGCCAATCATATAAACAATGACCTAGATAGTTTAGTAATGACTTCCGAAAACCACCATCTTAAGATAAATTCTAGCAAGTCATGTTTTATTATATTTGGCCAGAACAGGGAAAATTTTTTAAACAATTTTAAACTAAAAGTTAAAGGGAATGAATTAGTATATACTAAAACGGCCAGAAACCTTGGATTACTATTTGATGAGAACTTAAGGTTTTCATCGTACATTTCTAATACTTTAAAAAAGTGCTATGCTGGTTTAAAAACTCTTTTTCCACATCGCCATATTCTCTCCCAAGATTTAAAAATAAAACTTTGTGACACCTTGGTTCTGAGCCATTTTAATTATTGCGACACAGTTTATGGTCCCTGTTTAACAAAAGCAGACGAATGTCGCATACAGAGGGTGCAGAAGAGTTGTCTTCGCTATATATACGGAATTCGGAAATATGATTCAGTATCATTTAAACTTAAAAATGCCAAATGGCTAAATATGTTAAATCGAAGGAAACTACATGCTGCGACGCTGTATCATTCTATTATAATTAGTAAAATTCCCCCATATCTGTATAACAAAATTACATTTAGAAGCGATGTTCACAATCTGAATTTACGTTTTAAGGGTATGCTTTCACCACCTTCACATCATACTGTATTATTTCGCAGATCTTTCTCTTATAACATTTACAGCTTATATAATGGACTCTCTTTAAACCTTAAGAATTTAAATCTTTTAAATTTTAAATTTAAATTTAAAGCCAATTTATTTGATAGCCAGTTTTAGATTTAGTGTTAGTTAGATTAATTTGTTGTACGTTTGTCTTTTCAAAAGATCATATAATTGGTTGTTATTAGTGTTTTAGCTTTAATTTGTTTGTTTTTTTAAATTTCTAAACTGTATGTATACTTTTCTGGGCTAAATTTATATCAGTTTTTACTGCCTTTTAGTCCTTTTTGCAGAACTGTGCTAATGTAAAGATATATCTTTATTTTATAATTTTCATAAAATGTAGTTATTTCTGCAAATAAATCATTATTATTATTATTATTATTATTATTATAATTTAATCAAAAAAAAAAAGTAAAAGAGAAAGAATCGAATTTTTAGAAAATTATAAAATTTGTAAAAGTAAAAAAAATACCCCCCACTGGGAACTGCCTTATCGCAGCGATTGCGGCCTTACGCTCGGCACGAGTGATGGGCTCCTCCGCGGGGGGGTGCAGCCTCCCGTGGCCTATACGGGGTATGGTCTACACGGCGGTAGTCGTAGTACGATTGCCGTTGTGTGGATTGTCTTCCGGGGGGGCTGCGGGGGGTGGTATTTCTTTGCGGGGGAGTTTATCATGTGTGCCGATTATCGTACCAATGGGAAAAACCATTACCAAAAGGGTAAGAGTAGCCCAATTAAACACTGGGTCCACGTCACTCGTAGACAACGCAACAACATACTACAAGCCACCCTTAAACTAGATCTTAAAGACAAAAAAATCGGTAGACCATGCTTCACATTTCATGACACGTAGCACAATACATGCACTTCTCACAAAGTAACAAGACCAGTTGGGATCAACTAAACAACAATAAAAATAAAATAAAAAAAATAAAACAACCGACACACTTTACCAAGTTCAGGATATCCGACACGGATAATGACAATAATGAACAAGACGAAGACCTCGACTAGGAAACTACACCCCTGCAGCGTAATAACAACTCCCCAACTCCAAATAGTAATCCCAAATGCTTGGAGTAATACTAACCGACTGGTCTAGGGGGATTCCGCGTCGTACTTAGTTTTAAGTCGGCGTAATTGTCCCCCAAAAACCAACTCCCTCCCGTCCCTCATCCATACCTCACTGAGCGTATAGCATAGGCCCGGCGAACCCGGGAACGGCTATTATAACTATTTGCCTCTCGCTCTCGAGCCCCAAATAGGGGACAGTACGGAACGCAATGGACATTCGCACCCAGCAAACACGGGTGAAGCCGTGCAGTTGCTGGGGAAGAACAAAAATCGGCGTAAGTAAACATAGGCCTGTACGGGGTTTGAGAGTCAAGAGGAAATGGGGCTGGTTATACGTCTCTTATACTCATACTCATACTTTATAAATGTGATCTTAAGATCAATTCCAATTTGGAATTCCAAATAAAATTATGTGTTTTTTATACAAATGTAGTCTACAAATGTAGTCTTTACAAATCCAGTCTTTTCACAAATTAACCATATCGATGACTTTTCGCCAAAGTATCGCAAGCAACATAACCCAAATTTCGGGAATTGAAAACATTTTGCTTGTCTGTTTTAAATTAATTATAGCCTAAAGGCTTTATAATATGTAATTACTTAGCTTATAATTATAGATATTTACTTGTTATAAAACCTGTAGGCAGAGCCGGCTTAAGGCAATTGAGCGCCTTAGGCACTTAAAAATTTGGCTCCTCTAACTAGATACTATACTTACGGGGTCCGGAGCAAATTTTAAAAAAGCTTATTAGAGCCACCCCAAACTGTTAACGCTTAAGGGCGCCCAAGCATTATAACCTAATTATTCCCTATGAATTAGAATACTTTTTATCATTAAAAAAATACATAAAAAACATAAATAACATACAAACATAACAAATATAATGTAAATAAAAAGTGTTAGGACTTATAAGTGCGTTTTTCTGCAAGATGTCATTGATAAGTATTTAAAAAAAATTTAATCAACCTTAATTTTCTGTACTGGTACGGTACTGCTGGTATATTGTAATTAGTTTAATATTAAAATTTCAGAAATACCTTAAAACAAACAGAAAAATTAACACTATCTAAATGTGGATTTAGCCAGCATTTTGTGTAACGTAATCTAACGTAACGTAATTTAATTTAAAAGCCAGGCTAAATCAATCTTAACTATCGAACTCAGACTGCTATCACCAAACACACAACACATAGAAGTGCCACTCTTGAATAAACGCGAAAACACCCAAGTCCTTCCGGCAGCAGTTTCCTCTAGTATCGCGTACCCGCTGGGGTGAGCAGCACATCACAGCGGGTACCCGATGCAAGAGGAATCCGTGTGCTTGGAGCATACGGGGGTTTTGAAATAGTTTAAAGAGTGCTAAAGATATGTTTATACAGGGTAAAGTTTACAAATTAAATTATCTTTTAAGTTTTTGTTTGCAGGTTAACGTTAAGATTTATTATTATTTGTTAATTATACAGTTAATAATAAAATATCTTATTCTAATTCAAAACGTAGTGTCCTCGTAATCAAGCATGGTGATATAACACCTGATTAATTTTATCTGAAATACATTTATGTATTTGGCATAAAAACAGAAGTGAATTTGCGGCACGCTTTTTTGTCGGCTTTACACCTCGTTATTACAAATGAAGCTAAATTTGTATAAAATAATAAAAACAGTAAATAATATTCTGTTATTACAATTGTATATTGTTTATTTGTTTTATTTTTGGAAAAAATAAACATTTTGGTAACAATTTTTATTTTTTTTTAAGTTGTTTGGGGACAAGGCGCCTATTTCTACGTGGCGCCTAAGGCAATTGCCTTGCCTGCCTAATGGGTAATATGGCCCTGCCTGTAGGTTATATTTGGTTTAAAACAGACTTTAAAACAAAAAATATTTTTCCCGAAATTTGAGTTATGTTGCTTGCGATACTTTGGCAGAAAGTGATCAATATTGTGTAAGTCAATTTTTTGAAAATTTTAGTTATAATATGAAGTAAAATCAACAATTTTCGCAAAATGTTATTTTAACCAGTGCCAGGTGAAGCAAAACAAAAGTTACAATATTCTCGATTTAATAATATTAAATGGTACACACAACTTGTGTGACACAAGTTCTCTATTTTGTTTTTAAATTTTAACTTAACAATAGTATAACGTCTATAAGTGTATTATTCCTAAACTGTCAAATCACAGAAGTTTTGGGACAGAACACCAAACATACATTATTCATGAATTCAGGAAATAACATCGTATGCGCGGCCCTTTACCGGTTTGATAACACAAACCTTTAATAGAGGGCGCAGTAAATTTTTTTTTTTACTACCTATAAAGCGCAGTTTTTAGGTAGGCAAGACAATTTTAATTTTTAACTATAAATTCACTAAATTAATAAACAAAAACAATTCTGTGTAAAAAATGGTATATAATAATACAAAATCGTAAAAAGTGGTACCTACTTGACTGTCAAATAAACGTAAGGAACTCAATCCAAAATCGAATACAAACCCATTAGGAAAATGTGATCGCGATTTTACTATTATTTCCTTTTTAAAATTAATTAAAGCGATATGATATTTTTTTGTATTTTATTTGAAAATATTTGAAATTCTTTATTAGTGTTATTTTTGATCGCTGATATCTTTGAAACGGTTGATCTGAAGAACTTTGACCTTTAGATGTTTTTTGTAGAGGGTGAAATTGTCTATAACTCCTTTCGCTTGGGTGTTGCGAAAACAAACCATTCCAAAGTTATAAGAATTCAAAATTAAAAATTCCCGTGTTATTGAAATGGAAAAACAACAAATGAATTGAACAGTACTTACAGTCTTTTGAAGCGCAACACCCCATTTTAAAAAATAACTAAATAGCTACTAAATTATTAACCCCACGGCACTTTTTACTTCACTTGATCGCAAACATGAACTGTTTTCGGCATTTTCAATATTAAACTTATAAAAAATTAAAACAAAAGTATTGAAACATCTTTAAATCTTTTGTGCTGATATTTTCCTTATTTTATTGTTTTTAATGCAGATAAGGAGTGCGGTAATATGATATGAATGTCAACCGATTACTAATAAAAGCTATGAAAAAACTGCGTGAGTAAAATATGTGGTTTTCAAAATTTGAATAATATTTTACCGTCATTCTGAATAATAACCAAAACATTTTGGAAATTATGCGTGCAAAGTCCAAAGCCAAGAATACTTAGTAATTATATATAATAAATAGTAACTTTAGGCATTATTCGAATAAAGACTATATACAGGGTGTCCCATAATTAGCGTGCAATACTTTAACAGTAGATTCTACGTACAAAAATAAGAAAAAAAGTTCCTTTAAAAATAGGTCGAGAAATGTTTCTCAAGGGAGCTACAGCCCCCAAAAGAGGAGCCCCTGAAGATGGTTTTTATTTATTTTCTCCAAAACCGTTAGATAGAAAAGTGAAATTTTGGGATATAATCAAACTTTTTATAACAAATTCAAAATTTTCATAAGGGGTGGGTACGATAGATAGGGAGTGGGGGTAAAACTTCCCTAACTTTTTTGTACGTATCTTGTGCCATGATTTCATATTAGATCATAACATTTCAGAGTTTTACACATAAAAATGACGAACTTTGATAGCATGCACCGTTTTCGCTTAAAATCGATTTAAAAATTACCTTACATAGCATAAAAATTCGTAATGAAATCACAACTAGAGAAAAAGATTCAGCGTAGGCCATGAACAATTTTTAAAAACCCTGTCACATATTACATGAAACTGTCACCTGTCTTAAATAATTTTTCCTAAAGATGGCAGCTGTGTTCCATGGCCTAGGCTGATTCTTTTTCTCTTGAAAATTCATTATGATCTGTTATGCTATGTAAGGTAATTTTTAAACCGATTTTAAGCGAAAACTGGATAATATCAAAGTTTAACAAAAAGGCCTTTTTTGTTTGTAAAACTCCAAAATTTCATAATCTGACATCAAATCCTAGCACGAGACACGTACAAAAAAGTTACGGTGGTTTTAACCCCTATTTCCTATCTATTTGACCCACCCCTCATGGAAATTTTGAATTGTTATTATTACATCTTATTGGCCATAAAAAGTTTGATTAATTCGCAAAATTTTACTTTTTTATCTTGAACGGTTTTGGATATATTAAATAAAAATCGTCTTCAGGGGCTCCTCTTTCAGGGGCTGTAGCTCCCTTAGAAAGCATTTCTCGGCCTATGTTTAAAGGAACTTTTTTTCTTATTTTTCTACGTGGAATCTGCTGTTACAAGTATTGCACGCTAATTATGGGATACCCTAGGGTACAGCTGTATATATAGCTATTTATAGATTAGTAATATGATGATACCCGAAATATTTAGTCATTATGCATCTTTTTAATTACGTCATAGTGATAATGTAGGTAAAATAGAATAAAAGAATATTCTAAAATCTATCGAGTTTGCCATATTTTGTCAGGTTTGACGTTTGACATAGGTTATGTACTTGAATTTATTCTACAGTGACCTGTATGTTTTGTTTTATTTGCAAATTTCGAGCTAAACACGATGATGGAGCCACTCTTCCTATGTATTTTTATTATTGTACGCGGCGGTGTTTAATTATTTGACTTTTGAACTGCGTACACGCTTATGTTTTATTTCACATTACTTACCTAAGATGAATAAACGCCTGAAAATTTTGGGAACAAACGAGGTGAATAATAAGTAAAAAGTATAATAGTACAAGTTTTTATTTCAATTCTATAATGATAATCATAAAATAATAAATATAATAAATTTGTAATTTGGTTTGTCCAACCACAACCATAGAAAGAAAAGTCCAGCTCATTTTTTCTTTCACAAAGAACATGATGAAATAATAATAAAATATAGTGATTATCCCTAATAGCAAAATTTGATTTTAAGAATCTTCTAAGAAGATATGACCCGGAATAATGGAATATTCTTAGAACCTTTCCTTATTGCTAAGAATGTTCTTAGGGACTTTCAAAACATTCAATAGAAACCCTTTTAATGATGCAATTGGATTCTTAAAAGCTTCTTAAAACCTTCCTTAAAAGCATCCTAAGGAAATTTTAAGAATACGTTTTTGGAATGTTCTTATAAGGTTTCTTATGGAGCTTCTACGAAGCTTTTGAGAATATTTCCAAATATGTCAGATACCCACGTTTTAATATGTTGTATTCTACATTCGTAAAATTTTTCAGGAGACGACAAATACGCCTCACTGTCATAATATGACAGTGAAATGTATTTGTCGTCCCCTTAAAAAATGTTGCGACATATTAATATACAATATATTTATTTAAAAATATTAAATAAACAATTTGACCTCTTGTATGACATTACCTATTTCATAAAAAGTAAAATTGGAAAATTTTGTGGGATAAGTCAGTAGATTGAAGTTGAAGATAGTTAGGATTATTATACATGAAAATGTTAATTTAGAAATAAAAATCGGTATACAAATTAATAAATATTTATTTTTAACATAAAATAAAATACCTATAGTAAAAGTATTTTTGTTATGTTTTTTACTTAGTATTTATTACTAATTACTAATTAGATACTTAAATATATACCCAACAATAAAAGTAAGTATTATTTTATTCAAAGTACCTAAAAAAAGCTGAGTATGCAAAACAAAAAACAATTATCAAAAAAGTTATCAATGATAACACAAATTTTTAATGAATGTAGATGCTCACTGTGCAATCATATTTTGCGTCAGTTGTTATAGGTCAGGAACAACCAGTGGCGGCCCAAAATTTCCACTGTACTTATATAAATTTTAATGATTTTTTTATTTAAAAAAATTGCACTTATGCAAAAATGATAGAAGAAAAAATTTCTTACTTTAGCGTGTACATCAACTTAAAGGATGACAACTTATTTGGTTACACCCTGTATTAATATTGTTTAGATCTTTAACCTTTATTTAGCATTTTTTCATAAAAAATTATTCCTGCAACCATCCTGACCACATTTTTAGGTATCGACGATACTTGAAGAACGATTTACTTAACCACTGTAATTTGCTAAGGGATGACCAAATTATTTTAATACTGTTTATTTTTGCATAGATATTTTTGAGATCTACAGCTTTTTTATTTAGCATTTTTTGTTTTAATCAATTTTAAAGGGTCAACACAAAAAAACTACTTTTTTGTTAAAATTGGACGCCTTTATCAGAAAGTTTTGTCTATAAAAAAATTTGTTAAAAATCATGTTCTACATTTTTTGTCTTATAGAAATAGAGATAAACCGATTTATTTTTTTGTTAAAAAGTGTGGGATTTTGACTTTTATAACTTAAACTTCAAATTTCTAGAATTATTATTTACATTACTTACCTAAATGAATGCCTGAAAATGTTGGGAAAAAAGGAGGTAAATAATAAGTCAAAAGTAGATTAGCACAAGTTTTTATTTTAATTCTAGAATATGTACAAAAGTTATAATATATGATTGTTTTTTCTGTAACATATGGCTTTCAATAAAACTAAAATTACATACATAAAAAATATTTAAATAACATGACTCAAATAAATTGACTGTGTTTTATGTAACCTAAATATATATAAAAAGAAAAAATCAACATTTTTTATGTAATAGAGGCAATTGGATCTTGGAAAAATATATAGTTTCATTTCTATCACATAAAGGAAAAACGTGGAAATAAATAATATCGTCTAACACATACATCCACTATCATGACTATTATAAAAACACATGTTATTAACAAATAATATATACAGGGTGGCAAAATAAACATAATGGTTTAAAAGCTTTATAAATTTTAAAACTTCAAGAAAATTATTAAAATATGTGTTTAAGCAGAACATAAAACGTATATTTTTATAAGTTACTCGCAATTACAGAAGTTATAAGGCCTTTAAATCATTTGGCTCACCCTGAAGTATAAAAGCATATCTCTAAAAACTGTAAATATTTCTTTTGAACATTAGTTTATTTTTTGTGTTCAGGAGGGCCAGATTATTTTGTACATAGTATGTATTGCAGCAAACAGCTAGCCAAAATAAAATTACAAAACAATACACAAACTGTATTAAAATATACTACATAGTACCTATACAATACTATTTTAAGTCTTTGTTAATTTGGTAGAATAGGCATCACACAACAAATTGTTTTTACAAAAAGTTTGTTTTTTGGGGATTTGGGGAAAGTATTGGCAAAATAAAAAGAACAATTTATTTTGCGACACCCCGTATTTCATCTGATATAAAATTAATTACCAAAGATTCACAACACACAGACATTACACCAAGTTCCCAAATCTTAGTTTTCAGATTTTATTAGGAACTAATAATAAAAAATAGAATATACAGAATGAACAAGTGATGTTATTGGTCCACGTCTTTATTAAAAAAAAATCTTTATTTTTGGAAGTACAAAAGTCGTCAGTATAAAAGTTAAAATCTCGATAGGACACTTTTTGTACTATTTACGTAAGTGGCTACTTTTTTCGTCATTTATTTAGATTTTGTACAGAAAAAGCAGACTTTTTTCAGACGTACTAGTAATTATAGTAATAGATAGAAATAAGTAAACAGTCTTGTCACTAGTTTAAAAATCAAATTAAGCACAAAAATTTAGCATGGCCCGAAATAGATTTTATAGTACCCTGTATATAAGAGACACAAGCATTTTTTTATTACAACATTGGGTCAGAATTCGTTAAATCAGCACAACAAAATGGCTGACATTGTTTTTTGTCGAAATGTTGAAAAAACTGTTTTATATGACTAAAAAAATAATCGACCAAAAATTTTATTTTGTTTTTTATTATTGTCAAATTAAATTTTTGGTATTTTTTCAAACAAATTCTAGTTATTCTTTTACAAAAAAAATTGTTTAACATTTTTGCTTCAAAAATAAGTTTGAAACATTTATTTTATTAAAGAAGTGAATCGCGATTTTTTGAAGATAATTTTTTTCTAAAATTACAGAAAAAAACATTCTTTTATTTTTAACCGTTTATTTTTTACTGTTAAGTAAGTGAATTAAATTTTCTTTTAAGTTAAATAACTAGCAAAATAATTATTTAATGGTGCACATGCATTGGTGTCAATAGACATATTTTTTTTTAATTTTGAGAAGCAAAATGTAAAAGATAAAAAGTTTAATATATTATTATGAAAAAATTTCAGAATAATATTCCAAAGTAAGTTTTAATACTTTTGATATGCTAAAGTTTCATCAAAATCGGTTTAAGAATAACTAAATTTTTTTCAAAAGCAGCCAAAAATTTCTTTGCTGAAAAATGAAATAAAAAAAATCTTGGTCGATTATTTCTATGAACAGTTTTTTTTAACACTTGGACAAAAATTATTCACGTGCTGATTTCACGAATTCTGACCACGGACATTTTATTGTAATTACTTTTTTTATATAAATGTTTTTGGTCCTACAAAATCATAAAAAGAAATTTTAAAAATGTAAATATAAAAAAACTGTAAAAACATAAATAAATAAAATAGTATATTTATTCTCACTTTTTCCCAATTTATAATAAAGCCGTTTTATTTTTTATTCAGACATTTATTTTATGTGTTAACCCTAGAGTGATATTTTCAATTAGATAAAAAATATCACATAAGGATTTTTATTCCGCGAATTATTAATTTCATAGCAGATATTTTAAAATTGGATATAGGGGCATTCCACGTTACTCGGTAATTTTTGTCCCGCCCGTCACAATTAAAAATTGTGAGTAAAAACCACAAGTTATAAAATTAATATTTTATAATAATATTTTTATTGTGCTTATAACTTATTAAAAGCATAATAAAACAATATTTTTAAATAAATTTTATAACGTATAGTTTTTACTCACAATTTTTAGTTGTGACGGGCGGGACAAAAATCCCCGAGTAACGTGGAATTACCCTATAATTTTTATGCTAAAGTGATATTTTTAATTTATATCTGTTTCATATATTTTATTTTTTTGTTGAATATACTTTTTTAATTTGCTTAATTAAAAATTAGATTTAATTTTTATGCCAAACTAATATTTTTTATTTAGTTAATTTAAATTATTTGCTAAGAAAATTTGTATTTTTTGCTAAACACATATTTTTAATTCGCTAAACTAAAAATATCAGGAGAAATTTTTAAATGTATTAAAAATATCATAGGAGACATTTTGAATTTGATTTAATTTTTATTTTATCAAATAAGCAGATATTTTTAATTGAATGTGATATTTTTAATTCAGATTGAAAGTTTGGACACCCCTGGTATTCCAAAATAATTCTGTCGCTAGATGGCGGCAAAAATATCTGCTTAATAACAAATTAAAATGCATTAAAATTAAATTCTTAATAACCAATATGATATTTTTAATTCGCAGAATAAAAATTCTTACATGATATTTTTTATCCAATTGAAAATAATACATTTATAAGAATAATTCCTGAAAAAATAAAACGGCGCCCCATAGCACGTGACTAAAACCCCATAAAGTCGCAGCTGGTCAACGTGGGAGTGGATAAATAAATAAAAATTATTATTAAAAAAATTGTTAATGTCTTTTAAAATACACTGCGCGTCAAAATTAAAGCATAATAAGTAAAAAAATCTAACTTTACCAACCAAAAATTTTGGATAAAAATACTTATCTCAGTTTAAGGTTTTACGAGAAAATATCCTTAAAGCCCTTTTATTAAATAATAAAAAACGCTCGAAAAGAAATTTTTATAGGGAAATTTTTTTGAAGTAATTAAAAAATATGCTGTTTTTATTTACTTAAAAGTTATTTTTCGAACGTTTTTTTTGTTATTAAATAAAAGGGCTTTAAAATTATTTTCTCGAAAAACCCCTGAACACGTAAACTGAGATATAAGTTGAAGTATTTTTATAAAAAAATTCATAAAGGCTTTTTAGTTTGAATTTTTTTACATATGCGTTAATTTTGACGCGAAGTGTGGACTGGGCCAAAAAAATCGACTATTTTTTTTCGTAAAGTATGTTGAAAATATTGTTTTGGAGGACAAAAAAAAATATTGTGAAAGTTTGAGTCCATAATATTAATATTAAGAGGTCCATCATCGCAATTTTAATTTTTTTTCTTGACCAAGTTTTGTCTCAACTCCCAAACCATTTCCTTAAAATCATACCTTAAAAATTGGTTAGTTTTACAATTTGATCTTTTAACTTGAGAAAATTACGGAAATTTAAAAAAAAATATATAACACATTCGAATTTTTTTGCTTTAAGAAGATATTTTCTTTAGAAAATAATAAAAATCATGTTATTTTTATATGGGAAATTGTTAATTAGTTTAACATAATATGTAATACAAATTTATAAAGAACAAAATCAAATTATCATCCGTAAAAAAATAAATCTATAGTGAAAAAAACCTTGAATAACTTTTGATTGAGTGAATTTAGACAAAAATGTTAAAAGACTTTATTTGTAGAGCATAAATTTTCCTAAAAAAACTCAATGGTTTGGGAGTTCTGAGACAAAATTTTTTTTTGGCCCAGTCTAGTAGAATATAATATTTTTTAAATGTTTTTATAGAAGTTATAAAAGCGGTATTTTTTCACTTTCAGCCAAATTGCACCTTTAAGTACTTGCTCTTAATTAGAAAAAACTTATATACATGACTAGCCTAAATCGTCGTAAATTAAAACATATCACAAACGTCCCGAAGCGAGTTGCTAAATTTTTGCGATTAAAACAATAAAAAAATGTGTATACACTTTACATTTCGTCAGACGTGAGATCTGGCAGCGCTTAAAAAATAATTTTAAGTGCTCACCTATTAATCGGGCACCTCCCTGTACGGAACCTCGGACGTGACGTTGAAAATCTCGAAGTAGTGCGTCAAAAACTCGAAGGTGGGGCGTTTTTCGGGGTTCGCGTCCCAGCAGTTCAACATCGTCTGGTAGATCTCGTCGGGTAAGGAATGGGTGGTGGGTTTGGGCATCCTGTAGCCCTTGTCGATAATTTCTATCACCTCCCGGCCGTGCATTCCCGGGTAGGGGACCTACATAGACAAAAATAAAAACAAGAAGTCCTCGGGTTTTGATGACATATCAGGAAAAGGTTGATTTATTACCGCAAAGTTTTTTTTTTCGGTGCTCAAGCAAAATATTAATCTACCTATAGAAAAAAAAATTTCACCAAGGTAGAGCTCTTAATATCAATTTTAAGTACTTGCAGTTTAAATTTAAAATGCATGTAAAAAAATGTTTTTTTTTCAAATTTCTAATGCTCGCCCGCTTTTTACAATATTGTGAATCGGTTTTTAGTACAGTCATCTTAGTCAAAAAAAGGGATCAACCTCGGAATCTAACGGAATAAGCTGAATTTTTGTGAAAACCTTTATTTTAGCATTACAAATGTTGTCTCAAAAGTCACATATGCCAACGTGTGAGCGACCTTAGATATTCAAGGTCAAAGGTCGCAAAAATCAGTTTTTTGATAATATCTCGTTTTGTCTGCCTCCTATCGTATTTGCATTTATTATAAAAGTTGTAGAGAATAAAATTCTCTACAAATTTTGTTTAAAAAAAATTTTATACGTCGAACCGTTTTTGAGATAGAGGGCGCAGAGTGTGGAGCGCTCAGCCATACATATTTTAGCGCAAGGTAAATCGGGAATCCCAATCTATTAAACCGTTTTTTTTAATTAATTATATAATAAATATTACTAAAATAAAAATTTAATACCTTATACTTAGACTTATATTTATATTTCTTTTAAATCAAATATATTTTATCTTCATATATATCGCACATGGGCGACAACAGTGTCATAAGTAGTAAAACGATAATTCCGATATAAGTTAATGTAAAAGATTTTTGAATAATAAAAATCTGACATTTTTGTAAAATTATATTAACTTACACTGTAAGTTAATATAATTTTACAAAAATGTCAGAATTTTATTATTCAAAAATCTTTTACGTAAACTTATATCGGAATTTTCGTTTTACTACTTATGACACTGTTGTCGCCCATGTGCGATATCTTATATTTTAATTTAATTTTAATGAAGGGATAATTGGATCGGAGTAGGAAAAAATGTTTTTATTTATATCAATATTATTATTATTTATCTTCTTCATCCTCGTCTTCTTCAGGTTGGCCAGCAATTTCAGACTCATTATCATCATCACTCTCCTCGTTATCATTGACATTAATTGTCATATCTTCAAAAACTTACTTATAACGCGTTTGTACTTTGCTGATTTTTTTGCCTTTGTTGCCTCATCTGCGACTTCACCACAAAATAAGCACAATATTTAAAAATCAAACACATCATTCCCTTTTTTACGAGGTACAGTTGATGACGTTGAAGGTCCAGTCTCTTCAAGGCGACGTTTTGCTGCTGCAATTTTAATATAGTACGCTATAGCGTACAATTTTCGACACTCAATATGAACGTTCACAGAAGTCAAAGTATTTAGGTAGTTTATGATTATTTCTCTCAATAATTGCTTCTTTTAAAGTCTTTATACCGCGCACAAAAGTCACAGAATCACCTTCAGAAAGTAACTTATTACAAATAAAACACAAATCAGCCATGTTAACCTTTAAAGTATTACGAATATTACCTGTCACAACCCTAGACCTAGGTATACCTAGGGTCACACCTTGCTTTAAATATAGGTATACCTAACCTTTTTATTTATAGCAAGCCCACTATAGTATTTCCAGGTCTGTTATTTTAAAAGCAATATCTGGATCCAAGAGATGACCAAAGACATATTCAAGGCAAATTCATTTAATGTCTTTTTTTCTTAAAATGCATTTATCATTAATTAGAATAATATTAGAATATATTTAGAATGATTCACTTCATTATTTAATTATTTGTATGTCAAAAGTAAGTAATATTTAATGACTATTTGTTTTAAAAAAATATATAAAAATAAATATAAGGTAATAAATTGTTATTTAAGTAATATTTATTAAATAATTAATTAAAAAAACGGTATAATAGATTGGGATTCATGATTTACCTTGTGCTAAAGGTACGTATGGCTGAGCGCTCCACACTCTGCGCCCTCTATCTCAAAAACTATTAGACGTATAAAAAAAATTTGTAAACAAAATTTGTAGAGAATTTTATTCTCTACAACTTGTATAATAAATGCAAATATGATAGGAGGCAGAGAAAAGGAGATATTCTCAAAAAATTGATTTTTGCGACCTTTGACCTTGAATATCTAAGGCCGCTCACACGTTGGCATATGTGACTTTTGAGACAACATTTGCAATGCTAAAATAAAGGTTTGTACAAAAATTCAGCTTATTCCGTTAGATTCCGAGGTGAAATGCCTAGATGACTGGACTATTTATGGACCTTATAGGGAATTTCACGCTCTTCAAAATTGTCTTTGTGTTTTTTTTTTGTGTAACTCGTAGTGGTTCGCCAGTAGGAGTCATCAAAGTTCAATTTTTTGAATGAACATTTTTTTTTGCAATTTTTTTTTAACAATTCGCAAAAAATAGTGAAAAAAAAAGAGCTGAATCGTAAAAAATAGTCTTTTAACAAATATTTGATGAATTTACGGCCATTTTTATATCTTAAAACGTAAGTAATTGATAAATATTAACCAATTATGCTATTTAAATTAAACTTTCTTATTTACTATCGATATAATTCTCTACAACAATAACTTTTTCAGAGTTATTATGATTTTTGACTAAAAATAAATATAAACATAACACATCAATTCATAAAAAAACAACAAAACTTTAATCAGGTAGATTAATATTTTGCTTGAGCGCCGAGAAAAAAAAAGTTTTTTGCGGAAATGAATCACCCTACATTGTATACATCTAATTTATATATTTTTACAACCGACGATTCCTATATTAATGTAATTAATCAAAGGAAAATAAAGATTATTATTATTACCTGCCCGTACGTGAACAGCTCCATCAGCAGGATCCCGTAGGACCACACGTCCGACTTGATGGAGAACTTGCCGTAGACTATGGCCTCGGGGGCCGTCCACTTGACGGGGAACCTGGAGCCCTGCTTCGGGCAGTACTCGTTGTCTTCTATCACGCGCGCGAGACCGAAGTCGCAGATCTTCGCGATGTTGTTCTCGCCGATGAGCACGTTGCGCGCGGCCAGGTCGCGGTGGATCAGCTGCTTGGACTCCAGGTACTCCATGCCGCTGGCCACTTGGAAGGCCACGTAGATCAGGTCCTCGAACTGAAGGCGCTTGCCTTCGTCGTTTCTGAGGAATTCCAGAAGGCTTCCTGAAAGGGAAAATAGATTTGGAAGAAGTTGCGGATAAAACGTTTCCTAACTTTACTGCAGTGCAACTGATACTTGTTATGAAAGCTCTAGAAGACTTTACGTTTATTCACTTTTTTGTAGTGAATCTGATACTGATTCTAGTGAAACTTTTAGACTTCCTGATAGATAAATAGATTTGGACTTTTTTTGTAGTCCACTTGATACTGATTCCAATAAAACCTTTAAAAAAAGACTTACTGATGGATAGATAGATTTGGAAGAAGTTATAGAAGAAGTACGTTTCTTGACTTTTCTGCAGTGCAACTGTTACTGTTTCTAATGAAACCTATAGAAGACATCCTGATATATAAATAGATTTCGAAAAAAGAAGTAGAAGAAGTACGTTTATTGACTTTTTTGCATACCAACTGATACCAATTCCAATAAAACCTTTGAAAACATACTTTCTGATGGGATTTGGAAGAAGTTATAAAAGAAGTACGATTATTGACTTTTCTTTATAGCAATTGATACCGATTCTAACGAAACCTCTAGAAACTTCCTGATAGATAGATAGATAGATAGATAGATTTGAAAGAAGTTATAGAAGAAGTACGTTTCTTGACTTTTCTGCAGTCCAACTCTTACTGTTTCTAATGAATCCTCTAGAAGACTTCCTGATATATGAATAGATTTGGAAAAAGAAGTAGAAGTACGGTTATTGACTTTTTTGCAGTCCAACTGATACTAATTCCAAAAAAAAAACCTTAAAAAGACGTCCTGAGGATAGATTTGAAAAAAGTTATAGAAGTACTTTTCTGCAGTCCAACTCTTACTGTTTCTAATGAAACCTGTAGAAGACTTCCTGATATATGAATAGATTTAGAAAAATAAGTAAAAGTACGTTTATTGATTTTTTTGCAGTCTAACTGATACTGATTCCAATAAAACCTTAAAAAAGACTTCCTGATGGATATATAGATTTGAAAGAAGTTATAGAAGAAGTACGTTTCTTGACTTTTCTGCAGTCCAACTCTTACTGTTTCTAATGAATCCTCTAGAAGACTTCCTGATATATGAATAGATTTGGAAAAATAAGTAGAAAAAGTACGTACTTTTTGCAGTCCAAGTAATACTGATTCCAATAAAACCTTAAAAAAGACTTCCTGATGAATAGATAGATTTAAAAGAAGATATAGAAAAAGTACGTTTCTTGATTTGTTTTGCAGTGAAACTGTTACTGTTTCTAATGAAACCTATAGAAGACTTCCTGATATAAATATAAACAGATTTTAAAAAAGAAGTAGAAGAAGTACGTTTATTAACTTTTTTGCAGTCCAACTGATACTGATTCCAATAAAACAATATATGTATAAATAAATACATCAATAATGGCATTTAATGCATATATACAATCTGGTGTTAGATATGATATTATATTTTGGATTCATTCTCCATATACAGAGAGGATATTTATTTTGCAAAAAAAACTTCCTAATGGATAGAGCGATTTGAAAGAAGTTATAAAAGAAGAACGTTTCTTGACTTTTCTGACTGTTTCTAATTAAACCTATAGAAGACTTCCTGATATAAATATAAGTAGATTTGGTAAAAGAAGTACGTTTATTGACTTTTTTGCAGTTCAACTGGTACTGGTTTCACTAAAACTTTTAAAAATAGACTTCCTGATGGATTTGGAAAAAGTTAAAGAAAAGTCAATAAACGTACTTCTTCTATAACTTCTTTCAAATCTCATCACGAAGTATTTTTTAAAGGTTTTAGTTATAGAAGAAGTACGTTTACTGACTTTTCTTTAAAGCGATAAATACTGATTCTAACAAAAACTCTAGAAACTTTCTGATAGATAGATTTGAAAGATGTTATAGGAGAAGTACTTTTCTGCAGTCTTACTGTTTAATAATGAAACCTCTAGAAGACTTCCTGATATATGAATAGAAGACTTCCTCATATATGAATAGATTTGGAAAAATAAGTAAAAGTACGTTTATTGATTTTTTTGCAGTCCAACTAATACTGATTCCAATAAAACCTTAAAAAAAGACTTTCTGATGAATAGATAGATTTGAAAGAAGTTATGGAAGAAGTACGTTTCTTGATTTTTTTTGCAGTGAAGCTGTTACTGGTTTCTAATGAATGACCTATAGATGACTTCCTGATATAAATATAAATAAATTTGGAAAAATAAGTAGAAGAAGTTTATTAACTTTTTTGCAGTCCAACTGATACTGATTCCAATAGAACAATATATGTATAAATAAATACATCAATAATGGCATTTAATGCATATATACAATCTAGTGTTAGATATGGCATTATATTTTGGATTCATTCTCCATATACAGAGAGGATATTTATTTTGCACAAAAAAGACTTCCGAATGGATAGAGCGATTTGAAAGAAGATATAGAAGAAGAACGTTTCTTGATTTTTTTTTGCAGTGAAATTGTTACTGTTTCTAATTAAACCTATAGAAGACTTCATGATATAAATATAAATAGATTTGGTAAAAGAAGTAGAAGTACGTTTATTGACTTTTTTGCAGTTCAACTAATACTGATTCCAATCAAACCTTTTATAAAAGACTTCCTGATGGATAGATAGATTTGGAAGAAGTTATAGAAGAAGTATGATACTGATTGCAAACTTACCTTTGGACATGTACTCTTGGACGATGTAAATGGGCTCCTCCTCGCTGCAAACCCCAAACAAAGCCACCAATCTCTTGTGCCTGAACTTCTTCATGATGGCGGCTTCCGCCAGGAAAGCGTCGGTGGACATGGTGCCTTGCCTCAAGGTCTTCACTGCCACCTCGTAGTTTTCCTTCCATTTGCCGTAGAAAACTTCGCCGAAATTGCCGTGTCCCAGTTTTTTGACGAGTTGCAGCTCGCTGCGCGGGATTTCCCACTTGTCACGGTACGTGGGACCCAGGTCCCACATCGTCGGTTCCGGTTTCCGGCATGGTTTCGACAGCACGTGGCACAGGCCATATGCGTTTTCTGCGAGAATTAATAATCAAAATACAACACTTCAACATTCAAAAATATCGCAAAAGTTGGTATTATTGTTAACTGTATGTCCCATTTTTATATTCGGGGTTCAAATTAATATAATTGGCTAGTGGAGTAAGAAATGAGTGGCTGCGTATAAATAAGAAAGATAGAAATAAATCAATCCAATATCCCTTAATTTGTAAGATTTCTGAAGAAAAAGTTAAAAAATATTTTATTTAAAAAAGATAAAGCTGTTTAAAGTACGGAAAAAAATCAGATTTTATATTTGAACAGAATTTTCTTTAAGGCGCTCTTACTTCTTATACACAACAAAAATATTTAAAAAAACATGGTTTAAATTGAAGATATATGTAATACGATATTGAATGTTTTGTAAAAATATTTTAGTAATTGTACTTATAAAATTCCTATAAAGAATATAATAACTTGTAAAATCATAAAATTATTTTAACCAAATTATAGCCCAAACAATAACGGTTAAGGCTATATATGATTATTGATACATTTATTGACAACTAAGAAAGTTATAGTGGTTTATAAAAGGCCGCGCGCTAAGAATTTTGTATTTAAAATTGTTAAACAGCTATAGATTGCGCTCTTATAATCTCAACTATAATAAATATTTGATATATTGTTATTTTTTTAATATAACATATAAAATAATTTAATAATAAATTTTGTTAAGAACATTTTCTTTGTTTTAAATAAATTATTAGTTTCTTAAAACAAATCATGTAGCTATTTGTAATTCATTACATTTTACTACCTAGAGGTAAAAACAGTTTACAGTAATAAAAACCTTTTTTTATATGTACATTGTACAATGTGTCCTGGAATGGACTTACTAAATATTTAATTTCAATTTTTCGAGGAAAAGTCATTCTTCATCATTTCTATTACTTTTTATATAAATCCGATTCGCGTTGATACACTTTTATTTTGTTATACATGGTGAGCAAAAATACAGATTTTCCAAATTAAAAAATTTTAAATATTTTTTTTTGAAGCTCTAATGAGCTGGTAAGGGGAAATCAAAAAGTCTAATGAAGTTTTTAAATTTGAACAAATAATTGTAGATATATGTCAGTTGAAAGCAACAACCTTGATTCATAATCACAAAATGAGATAGCAGTCAATTTCCACAAAATAATAGGAAGTTAGGACCTGACTTGATTTTATTTTTAAAGGCAAATATATTAATAACAACTCGCATGAAAAAAAAATTCATTTGGCTTTTTGGTTTCTCCTAGCAAGCTCTTCATATTAGACCTTCCAAAAAATGTATTTAAAAATTTTTAATTTTGCAAAATCTACAATTGTAATTTTTTAGCGCATCTTGTACAACAAAATGGAAGTTTCTCAACATAAATCGTATTAATATAATAAGCAAAAGAAATTATAAAGAATGACTTTTTTCGAAAAATTTAAAAGTATAGTTAAGTCCATCCGTATAGACACTCTGTATATATTAGGGTGATTCAAAAAATCTATTCTAATAAAGTCTAATAAACATTTTGATAGAAAATCGAATGCTCTATAAAAATGATTTTTTCGTAAACCAAGATTTTAAAATTTTTATATATATATATTTTTGCAAAATGTTATCACTACCAGAATAGTTAGGATTTTAAAATAAGTAGTATAAATTTTTGTTGGAAATTAACTGATCTACAAAAAAGGTTTTTATAGTTTTTTTGATAAATGTAAGCGTTTTAAATATAATGGCAACTAAAGTTCAACTTATACTTTACCTTTTTTTAATAACTAGGTACCGTAAAAAATATTAGTTTTACTTCGATTTTTTAAATATTTTTATAAATTTGTATTTTTTTTTTTAATTAAAATAACCTTTTAACTATTTCACATTTTGTTAAAGTATTGCACGCTAATTTATGCCACTGAATTATTTAGGGGAAAAGTTTAAAATTTTGACAAGCAGAAGTTGGGAATAAATTTCAAAAATTACAAAAATCTACAAAAAGTAAATAAAAACCAAAACATCAAAAAATTACTTACTGGTGTATGCGTTAACCAGCTCGGCCAAAGACTCGAAGGTCTTGTTGGTGGAAATATAAAAACCTCCATTATCCAACGGTTTGATTTTGTAATGTTTCACATGGTATCCCCGGTATTCTTCCCAATCTTTTACCGACAAGGAATATCCGCTGGGATTGTGTTCGGACGGTCGCACCAAAAACGTTCCTCGACTGTTTTCTTCGGCCAGAAGCAGTTTTTCGGCCTCTTTTCTCGATATGTTCTCGAAGAACCAACTGAAAAATGAGTTATTAGGAAATTACTCTCTAAAAATGAATTGGTCAAAAATGACTAATTTTCATAGCCAAAAAGCAGCCACTAATAATTCTCGTCAATAGCAATTTGTATCCCGAACATTTAGCAGTCAATTTCCATGTAATATTATCACCTGAATCCGAAAATGTCGTCAAAAATGAAAGTAGAACAGTTTTTGAGATAAAGTCAATTTTCCATATAATATGGAATTGACTATATCTCAAAAACTGCTCTACTTTATTTTTAAAGAGTACATATTAGGGTGATTCAAAAAAACCTTTTTTTTGTTTTTTTTTTCGGAAACACGTTCAAAAGTTTCGTATAGATATAAAAATGAGCCTGTGAAAAAATGAGATTTCAAAATTAAGATGCTCCTCATCGCAAAAATTATTTTTGTTTTTTTTTAACTAGGTCGTACTATAATATTCTTGACATATTTTTGTAGAGAATTGAACGCTCTACAAAAAAGGTCTTTTATGATTTTTTGATAAATTTGATCCTTCTAAACAAATTTAAGGTAAAAGTTCAAATTAAACGAAATTTTTGTGTTTTTTAACTACCCGACTCATTTAAAAAAATTGAAATATTTTTGTAGAGAATTGAACGCTCTACAAAAAAGGTCTAGAGTCATTTTTCGGTAAGTAAACTTGGTTAAAAGTTATTCAAGGTTAAAGTGAAATTAACCGTCAATTTAGTCGTTTTCTCGAATTTTTTCTGGATTTTTTAGTTCAAAGGGCTAAAAACGAATCGAAATATTGTTTTTGAGCTCTGGAAATTCGGAAAAACAGCGTTCAATTCTCTACAAAAATAAGTTAAAAAAACACAAAAATTTCGTATAAATTAAACTTTGACCTTAAATTTGTTTAGAACGATCAAATTTATCAAAAAATCATAAAAAACCTTTTTTGTAGAGCGTTCAATTCTCTACAAAAATATGTCAAGAATTTTATAGTACGACCTATTTTTCGTTAGTTACAAAAATAAAAAGAAACAAAAATAATTTTTCCTATATTATTCTTATAGACCAGGGTCGATAATTTTTGAAACAAAAAAAAATTACAGTAGAATGAAACCCATTGGAAAAGGAGGAGAATATAATAAAAAAGAAAGAAAAAATAAATTACGGGCGATCTGACTTCGGGAAGTGGGAGGGGGGGGGCTTTAAGGGTAAAAAATGGTTTATCTCGATTTCCGGCAAAAATACAAGTCCTATGGAAAAAAGTTAAATAGCAAAGTTGTAGGTAATAAAAAGATCTACAACTTTTGTATTTACAATTTTTTCACATAACCTCAAAATTTATGTGAAAAATTCAAATAACCATGTTTTTGGTTTTTTATTTTTATCTTTTTCAAAAAAAAATTTTTTTCCACGAAATTTGGTGAAAACTTGCCTTTTTATGTCCCAAATACACTGTAATTTATTTGATTTGAAATATTTATTATTTCACCTTATTTTGACTTAATATCAAAAAAACACCCTTATTTTCAATCGAAAATTCTCGCGTCAAAATATCAGCTTTTTTCAAAAAGTCGGTGTGCTTTTTGTTCGTTGAAATCTCTACTTTCTGATGGTGTAAAAAAAATATACATTACTATGGTAAATGTTCTCAGAAAATGCAAAAAATATTATAATGAAAAACGAAAAAAACTCGAATTCGAAAATTTATTTTAATTATTATGTACAATTTCATCAAAAAAATGTGATTGTTGCAATTTTTTTTAGTTAAAAAGTTTATTTATTAAATTCTAATAACATTTATGTCAGAAAATCGCATAAAATATAAAAATACATGTAAATCATACTATTGAATTTAGATACTTCATTCTGATACGTTATTAATAGAAAAGTTGTAGATCTTTTTATTACCTACAACTTTGCCATTTAACTTTTTTCCATAGGACTTGTATTTTTGCCGGAAATCGAGATAAACCATTTTTTACCCTTAAACCCCCCCCCCTCCCACTTCCCGAAGTCAGATCGCCCGTAATTTATTTTTTCTTTCTTTTTTATTATATTCTCCTCCTTTTCCAATGGGTTTCATCCTACTGTAATTTTTTTTCACTTTTTACCATTTTTAAAGGCTTCGGCACTGGTCTATTATGGAAAATCGAAAAGTGCGATGAGGAGCATCTTAATTTTGAAATTATAAGCTCATTTTTTCACAGGCTCATTTTTATATTTATACGAAACTTTTGAACGTGTTTCCGAAAAAAAAAACAAAAAAAAGGTTTTTTTGAATCACCCTAGTACATATCGACATTAATAATTACCTTAGAGTATATAAAACATGAATAAACCTTAGAGCATACAATAATATTAATTTGTTTAATTTATAAAAAAAATAAACATTTCCAAACCAAAAACCTAACAGTGCATAGTCACGTTGTGTGACCTTGATACAGTTCACAAAATTATGTAAATCCAAAACTAGTTGGTACAAATTTACACCGCCAATAAACCTGCTATTATTTTTTATGGGGCAACTTAACGGATTCCTAAATAAGTAATTAAGTCCAGAGGAACTCTTACATAAATCTTGGCAGGTTTTATTGATAAAAAAGCACAGTCGTGACTGTATACTTATGAATAATGCTTCGACGCTTTTTTCAAGCATCTATTTTACATGCTTTTTATAGTGTTAAAATCTTAAATGCAAAGCAAACATTGCAACAATGTCGTCTCAAGGCGCTTAAGCCTTATTAGTAAGTGGAAATATATCACAGAGAAATTACCTCTTAAAACAACCCTTTACTAAATCCATGAAAAAAACATTGAAATAAAATTGAACTTTTACCATGTTACTATTAGTTTTATTTTATTTTATGTTTTTTTCATGAATAACTTGACAAAATAAATTTTTGTAGTTACTATTGTGCATTTTTTTTTCTTAACATTTTTTTAATCAAATTTTGTATAGGGTCGTTTTGAGGGGTGGTGAATCCAGTGCCGTGCTTAGATTTTGTTTAAAAAAATCGCTAATATGAATTGTTAAAAATTTACTCTTAAAAACTAACAAAGTAGGCCTTGTATTTTATAAAAATATGGCGGTTTTCTTTGCTTCAAAAATACATCTACACTAAAACAAATCCGGTTAAAATCGCACAATAAAGATTTTACAGGGTCGCAAATAAATGGGTCACACTGTATATATTGTAACACAAAAATTAACGTGAATTAAAAACTATAATTTAAACGCGAGTTGATGATGTTGGTTTCTATGGTAACGCGTTCGCTTTTGACAATGGCAGTGACAGTTCTATATGCAGTGTTATTTAAAATTTTAAAATGAGTTATGAAACGAATTAAGTCCATTTCAAAGAGAAAAATATTTAAAAAAGGTTGGAAAATCAAAAATAAAGCAACAGAAAACATGCAGCGAAGGTCTACACAGAGAAGAGAAGAATGCCTAATTATTAAAAAAAAGTTATAGTAGTCACCAAATAAATCAAAGCAAATATCCCTAAATAATAACTTGTTTGTAATCCAGTGTTGCCAGATCTTCTAGACGAGAATGACCGATTTATACTTTTGGTTGGGCACATTATCGTTATTTATTGCAAAACTGTGCGGTAAAAGTTAACAAAAATTCGTATGGCACTTCTACAAGCATAAGTGCATACAAGAAAAAAAATGAATTAATATTTCAATGACACGTTAGAAGATATAGTAAATTTAAAAGGAAACGACGTACACGTCATCGATGACGTCATAATTTTGCGCACTGGTACCAACACTAAATGTTTAAAACGAAGTCTGCAATTGAATATTTTAATGCATTTTAAACAACTTTAGTTGGCAGCAATTGCAATGTTGTCATGTTTAGATTAAAATTTTGCTTATTAAAATGACGCATAGAAAAAGAAATTGACGTTTTAGAATTTTGAGGCTGTCAGTTGTGTTTTTGAATATTTCGTTTATTTTGTTTGTTGTTTGTGTTATTTTATATCGTTTAAGTTTTCATTGCCGTTTTTGTGTTTGTTATATATCGTTTTTTTGTTTTTCCTATATTTAAAATGGCGAAGCACTTAAATAGTCGCTATTTTGACGCAGAACGGGATAATAATGGACCTTTGTTACTTTTAACAGCTGTTAGAGAGGTAAATAGGATTATTATTAATTATATATTAGAATATTTAACAAAATATATGTTGGATACATAAAATAATAATATACCAGAGACTGACTTTAGATGGAAACATTTCTGGGTTTTAAAGCTGAAAATGTCTTTAAAAATGGCTAAAAACATACTTTTGGCGGTGCATCATATAGGTTATAAAACTCTGACTTTTGACATTTCTGTATTCTAAGGTCCCAAATCTAGGGACCCTATGGTATTATTCATGTAAACGCCATCTATCGCCCTGTAGTTGCACTACCACTTTCACAGCTGATTGATTACGAGTACGTCGTTTCCTTTTAAATTTACTATATGCATTAATTAAAGACATGGGCTGTATGGGAGATGTATTTAATTTTTTTCTCCCGTATAAATTTTTGTCAACATTCACAACACAGTTTAGCAACTTTATCATTTTTTACTCTGAAACCAGACGGTCAATCTTCCTAAAACTTTGTAAAAGTCTTTTAAGTAGACTCTACTACAACCTAGAATTTTTTTAACATTTTCTCTTAGCGAGTAATATCGTGCCCGAACCTTCTTATTATTTTTAGAATAATAATATGTCACCTAGGATAAGACTGTTATTTATAACTAGATGGCGTCATTTGGACTAATGAAAGTGAGCTAGTTCAGTTTGTTAACTTTAACCCAAGATACATACACCTTAAGATAGGATGGTGCGCATGTTGGGCGGGGCTTAAATACGTCATTTGATGAGTGTTTTTAAATCTTTAACGTGTTTTTTAATTATCTGCTACTAAAATTCTTGTTTTTGTGATGCTTTTGGATGTTAACTTGCTCTATTTTTTGTTTAACTTGTTTTTGCGTTCGGTAAGGTTCGAATTACTTTTCAGTGTTCAAATTATTGTTCTTGCGTTGTGTTAACCTGTTCTGTTTGTTTATTATTGTTTTTGTGTTGCGTTAACTTGTTTTGTTTGTGTTTTAGTTTGTGTCGTGTCATTAACATTTATTAAAATGCGGTGTGGCATATTTGGATGCAATTCGGACAACCAGTACAAAAAAACCCCTTTAAATAAAAATATTAAATTTCATCGATTCGCGAAAAACTTTGATTTGTGAAAACAGTCGTTAAATGCCACAAAAAAAATAGACAATATTAACGTTAAGACCGCTTCTGTATCCTATAAACACTTTCCGGACAGTGACTATAAGTTTAATTTAAAACACCAACGCTTAAACTATAGCCACGGTGCTGTTCTGAGAGGTGATTTTTGGACTTTCTGTGAAACCTAATTTTTTTTATATTCTTGTTAATTAGGTCATAACTAAAATTTTAAGAGCAAAATAAAAAAATTTTGACGGTTAATTTTGTTTTAATTGGATGTTTATTAAAAATATGTATGCACACTTTCAATTCTCCAATTAAAACTTGCGATTTTATTTAAATATTATCATAACTTTTTAAATCAGATTAAAGATTAGTTAATTTCCTAAAAAAAGGTCTATACATTTTTTATATCTTTTACTGTTTTGTTGTAATACACGTTTAAAGTTTTAATTTAAGGTTAAATGTATAGTATACATTTATTAAACAATAATTCTAAGGGTGCCACATTTTATTTAGGGCCGATTTATTCATTTTTGATTTATTTGACGAATAATTTCTTTGGATACTAGATATTGCCAAGACATGAAAGTCATCGGCCCGATAAACTTTACTAAAGATGAATAAACCGGACCTTAGTTAAATTTCATAAATTTCTTCGTAACTTTTACTACAATTTTTCATTTTCGTTTATAAAAAACACTTTAAACAAAAATTATAGAATACGTATACTGAAAATGACGTCAAATAAATTTTTAATAGATATAAGTTTCATGGCAACCTTTAAGGATATATTAATTAAGGGAACATAAATGTATACGTCAAAGGTTAGATTAAAAGTTTGAACGTTTATTGCAACAAAACAGTAAAATATATAAAAAAAATTTAAAAACCTTTTTTTTAGTTCAAACCGTCAAAATTTTTTTATTTTGCTCTTAAAATTTTAGTTATGACCTAATTAACAAGAATATAAAAAAAATTAGGTTTCACAGAAAGTCCAAAAATCACCTCTCAGAACAGCACCGTGTAGCCCTAAATGTCATCAAGGACTGAAAGCATCTATTACTCATATTATAACACTTTCTTCAATGTTAAGTTTAATAATATTACTATTATTCGTGTATTCGCACGGCAACTACTAATCAAGTGACGTCATGCGCGGCACGAACCAAAACTCGTACACGGGAGCATCCCGCCCTGACTTTAACCGTAGAAAGTCGAGTGAATGCTTGTTTTAAAGGTATTTTTCTACTACCTTACTAGAAAACTTATTTTTCCACCCCCGAACGAGGGAGGAAAATGCCTCTTTTCCTCCCCGGGAGGAAAAAAAATTTCCTCCCTCTTTTTTTTTAAATTTTACATTGGCAAGAGTTTGTGTACCTTGTCTAGCCTTATTTGATTTTGTAGGAAAAAGATTTACTCCGCGCTTGTCCAACCATTCTTTTAACATTCTTTTAACAAACTATATTCATATTTACTATTTTAGATTTTTAAGGAAGGAAATTAATTGCAACTATTAAATTTATGATAAACATTATGACAGCTTATAAAAACTGTTATGTTGGTATTACCAAAAATACCATAGCAACAAAGCGTTGTCAACATAACGTCGGCGACGCAAAACCTACTTAATATTTTGTCATAATTTTATAGCCCCATACCGGGTAAGTAAAAGGAACCGGAACGCTTAAAATGTCTTAAAACCGTTAAAAGGTAATAGAAAAAACTATATACATACCTCAGGAGGAAAATGCATTTCCTCCCTTGAATATTTAATGCCCTTCGCTTCGCGTCGGGCAACAAACTATTCGCGGGAGGAAATGCAATATTTCCCTCCCATGGTATGTAAATAGCTATTTTTCGCACTTACTCTTCGCTTTCGACGCTGAGCTCGGGCGCCACGAAGTTCCCCGGTATGTAGCCCCTCCCTTTCGTGATCAGATGCAGCACCTTGAGCCAGTCGCCCTCCGAGTCGTCGGTCACTTCCATGCGGTCGCCCTTCTTGAACGAGACGTCCGTGTTGTCTCTCGCCTCGTAGTTGTACATGGCGATGACGATGCGCCCTTTGGCGGGCGGAAACTGCGCCGCCCTGGTGGGCGTGGGGCGGGCGCGGATCACGTCGGCGTGCGTGCGCTGCGGATCGGGGGTGTAGCGGTTGCAGCCGTCGCTGAGCAGGAGACGCGGCACCGCTGCAACAACAAAAGTTAATGATGATGTAAAGAAACGTTCGGTTTTATGGTAAACAGCCCGTTCAGAGTAAAACCGAATATAGGGAAACGTATGGGGCGTGGCCTCGCCTCCCTCCAACATGCGACACTGTAGCTAAGCAAATAGCCTGCATCGCTAATGAGATTTTTTGCATTATTATCATTTAATTTTTTAAGTCGTCTTACCTGCTCGACCTTTCGTCATGTCGTTTATCACACAAGCTACTTGGAGAGAGGCGGGGCCACGCCCAAAACGTTTCCCTATATTCGGTTTTACTCTGAACGGGCTGTATGTGAAAAGGGTTTCTTTGTAACAGTGACCGCACATATGGTTATCAGATTAAAACGAAGTAATTGTAAATTCATTAGGCTATTAAGTTTAATAATATTATAAATAGATGAATGTGGAATTAAAGTAAATGGGACGAAAAGCAGGTAGCAAGAAATCTGTCGTCACAATATTTAAGGATATATTAAAATAGAGAAATATTTAATTTCCAGGTCAAACTAAGTAAAATTGAACGGAAATGCAGAGAGACTGGTCAAAGATATTCCAAAACCTGGCCGTCCGAGTATTAGTGAAGATCATGATACTACATATTTAGTATAATGGTGAAGATACTGTAACGAACGGGGGATGGGGGGGCACACATTAATAATTAAAAAGAATATTAAAAACCACAAAAAAACTACCTTTGGCCAAAACACGTGATCGTCTAGTTTAAAGAAATTAAGTTAGGACCCCTTTTTGTTGTGAATACGGTTCTGGATACGTAAGTACTTGAGCAATTGAAAAGATATTTAAAAAGCAAAGAAAAAGTATTAAATTAAAATAAGTTTATTAATAAAGACAATTAATACAAGAGTTAATTATTGTTACTGTACATTAATAATATAAATAAAAACATTTGTATTTGAAAAGGATGATAGATTTAAGTTAATAAGGTATAACCTTAAAAACCCACATATACAATACAGACATGCATATATGTCGCACATCTCAACAATATAAATAATACAACAACATCAAAGTAATCAATATGAATATAATCAATTATATTATCATATTGTTAAGATTATTCACCTACATAAATGGTAGGCTCGGACGGTGGAGAAAAGCAAATACACATTGAAATAATTATCAATGTACAGCAACAAACATCAATAATGTGAAACATAAAGTATAATATAACTTAGGTCACAAGCAACAATAATAAATGGTATTTGTATAAATATAATATATAAATAACAAGTGGTGTGGTAGTGGACAACGGTAATGCAATTTAATTGTACAGCCATAAATAACAAATACAATCAGGTATAATCAAGTAATAAAAACATGTCAGTGCAAATCAAATATAGCAAAATAAAATGATTATCAATAATAATAGAATAAGACCATAAAACAACAACTTCATATCAATATCCCTATCTAACCATTCTTTGTCTAAATTGGTTACCTGGCATTATTGGCCATTGGGTGCGCCTGTCAAAGCAGAGCTGTATCCACCATCCTATTACCAGCAACCGGCAACAAAGTTCCCTAACTAAATAACTCATTTGATATGCCGAACTTGAAACAAGTCTCACCATATTAAATAATGAATATCAATTTATCAAATAAATAAAATAAGATAAACTGTACAAAATCAAGTATGTAAATGTTAAATATAAATATGTAGTAAAATGTAAAATTACATTACAATATAATATGTTAAAGTAAATGTAATATAATATAAATATAATAATTATAAACATAAAATAATGATTATGATTTGGTTGTCCAATCATCAACATTAAGATAAAATTCAGCTTACTCTGTCTCTCACATAGCACAAGTTGAAATAATAATAATAAAATATAGTTTAAATTAAATATTAAATAATTAACCACTCATTATGATATTTGTGACCTCAGATTATAATAACTAAATATAGAAAAGACATACCTATTTAAATAAACACACTTTCACAAAACTGAATTTATATAAAATCAATGTACGATTTGTTAAATTCACTCCCTGATAAAGTTAAAGAATTTAATAGTAAAACGTAACTCTCCCTTCAAATAGCAAAACCCCAACTGTTACAAAATTAAGGAATTCAACTAATCCCTTCAACTGTCTAAAATATACTGACCCTTCAAATAGTAAAACCAAACTGTCTACTTCAAATAACAAAACTCAACTGTTACAAAATTAAGGAATTCAACTAATCCCTTCAACTGTCTAAAATATACTGACTTCTCAAATAGCAAAACCAAACTGTTTTTAAAAATACCCTCCCTTCAGTTTTTAACATGCTTTTCTGTTTATTTTATCAAATCTAAACCGGCCTATCGATATGGTTCATTTTGAACGTGAAAACCTTCTCTGTCTACCGATATGGCTCAGACATACGTGCGGTTTTGGTGAGTCTCCCTAGTGCAGTATGGGATGCTTAAAGACACCAACACGTAGGTCTACGCTTAGCACCTTGACAGTGATTTATAAATATCATTCTGTCAGACGTACTATACCCTATTTTTATTACGTGTCGACAAAGACTCTGGAATGCTTAGTTTAAATATTGCCCTAATAAATTATATAATGTAAACAGAATGGGTCCAAATATTAAGTTACTAATAACCACTTGATACAATTTTAAGTTAAATATTTAGAAGTAGTTTCATATTTCGTAAAGCCTTAAAATAATAAATTAAGAAATGTTAAAAATTAACTGCCCCGTATATCGTACCATTACAATACTAAAATTAAAATTTTGTTACGTGTGGAAGATCCTTAAAGTGCGCCAACGCTCATTATTACGTCTTATAAAGAAAGAAAAGTACCATCCATACAAAATTGGACCATGGACTACGATTTTGTGAAACTACGATTTTGTGAAACTTGGATGAATTTATGTAAAAATAATCAACACTTTCCTTTAGTGTTTAAATTTAGTTCTTTGCATTCTTACTTTATAATCAATTTAATTTAAATTAATTTACAAACGTTAATACACAAATAGATGAAGCCGGCCCTGTAGTGTACGTAATTGGAATACGGCCCTATTCTTATTTAACAATTAAGAAATTGTATTTGTATTTTATTTGTACCTTCGAAATTGCTTTACTTTACTTTGGTCTATTTAGTGTAGGGTTTGTTAATCCTGTTCAACTCTTATTCTTTCTTGTTGATTCTAAGGATTTAACTTGGGAAGGTATAAACGCACCCGTAGACTCGGTGAATTCTTATTTACGCAATTATCGATGTGCAATATTAAAAAAACTTATCTGAATATCGCAGATGTATCTTCCAGGTTCATGCGGCGGTGAACCACCTGTTCAGGTGGGTGGATCCGTGACTCCGACAGTTGGGGTGGCAATTTACTTCACACTTTTAACTTTTAGATATATAGGTTTTAAATGCACTGCTTATGCACTGTATACTTGTTTAGAAGTGCGACAAAAGGTCTTATGACATGCTATTGCTATTTTATCTATTTTGCAAAAATTCTATAAAAAAAATATTTTTATACCTTAAATTTAATTTGGTCGAATTTTACTTTAGATAGTTGGTATCACAGTCATTGGTTTGACAGTTAATGTCAAAATTGATTCGCCATGCCGTCCTTAATTTATTTATTTACAATAAGCGGCTGTTAAAGAGGAAAAAAAGGATTTTCTTTGGTGTTAAACAAAATTTATTGGCATAAAAGTCTCGTAACTACTAGAAAAATCATAAAGAAGCATAACAATATACACAAAATAAGAGTTGTTTGAGGTTATGTGTTTTATGCGCATGCCATGAATTTAAATTAAACAATTAAAATGTATCTTGACAGTGTTACCCAATTGCCAAATTACTAAACTGGTAGATACGAAACTGGAACCGTACGAGGTGAAGAAAAACACTTTTATTTATTTAAAATAAACAAGGCATCTAGCAGCTATTTGTGTCAGAAAATTCAAACTATATAATTAACAAATTTTAACTTTTTATTTTTGAAACGTCATTAGAAAATTTACTTTAATCATTGTATATAAAGAAAAATTCTTAAAAAAATATTTGTTGGAAAAAAATTGTAATTTTTTATACTTAAAAAACCCTCCTACAAGGTGGTTTTGATTTAAAAAATAGTGTATAAATGTATATAAATTTTAAAATTATTAAAATTTTATCATTATACATGTGTGTTATTAATACTGATTCCGACAAGTAGCAGCGGCAATACTTATTGACCTGTTTAAAATAATGATACGTTAGAGTAGTAGTGCTTATTTTTAGTTTCGAGTGGATACTTGCACTAAGTACACACTTCCTCCTCATGTGCTAAGTAAAACAAGGACCCAGCGCTGCGCATAATTAAATGCAATTAGACAAAGCAAAAAGTGCTTTTAACATGCTTTATACGAGGGTTAGAACAAGTACATACTTAAATTAATGAAATTATTATTGAAATAAAAAATGAAAAAGAAAATATAAGACAGTTGGCTTTGACCGATCAGGACCGCGCTGTCCACCTGTTAATTGGTAACCACGCGTCAAAGAATAGATTTTAGCTTGGTTGACGTTCTTAAGACAGTACTAGCAGGTGGACAGTGCGGTCCTTATTTTTGATATTGTAACCATTTTCGTATGTCAACCAAAAGAGAGTTATGTCAGGTGCTTTTGAATAACCCTGTGTAGTCTACATAAACATAACATTTGCAACTCTCTTTTTGTTGACAGTGTGTACAAACATACACGCAAAAAACGACGAAGTAGGCTTGAAGTAGCCACCGTTGATTTTGTGTCGCCGTAATTGTAAATTATACCGACGAAGGCTGCTGCCTGCTTTTGTTTGCCGCCTTTCAAGAGGTCTACATTTATTAATGCAGCTACCAGCACGGCGCAAATGGCTTTTCCTAATGCGAACGATTTAACGATCTCTGTGCACTACACTTAGTACTCTTTCAAGGTGAAGGATCTTGAGAATACGAAAAGTAATGAAAAACTGTTTAATAAACACCTAATCTTTAACTTTTTTTAGGTTTGTTAGTTGTTCTAAAAATGAAAAAAAATTATATCAAAAACGGAGTGAATAGAAAGAATTTTTTTTTACTCCCACCTTTAAAACGACCATTATCGCACATGTTTTCATGACACCTTTTAAATACACATTGACAAGCTGTGGCTTTAAGGCGCTTTAGTCACGGACTGAAGTTAGCAACAGGTTTTTAGTAAGGCTGGGAATTTTTTAGTTTTAGAAATTCGGATACTCGTTTAAAAATAATTTTGAATATTCTAGTATTCGAATTATTCGAATATGGGTAATTTATTTGAAAAGTGAGGTTATGTCGAAAAATAGTTAAAATAAAAATTGTAGATCTTTTTATTATCTACTTTTATATTTGAATTTTTTTGATCCGAGATATAGTTTTCTCTTTATTAACAAAAACCGTTTTTTTATGTGTCGCGCAATATGAATTAATGTTTTAACAATAGTAATAATAAGGGTACCATTATTTGAAATCATGTTTTTTATATAAAATTTGACGGAGAATACGATAAAAATACTAAAAACTTAATACGAGGTGGGGGCCATTGTTAAAAATTGATTTAAACAATGAAATTGTTAATAACAATATGAATTGGTTAATAATATTTATTAAAAATATTTTTTTATCAAAATTCAGTCCTTTAGCTTTAAAATGAAAAAAAAGAAGTTTGTACCTCAAATAAAACCAGAGTTATAAATTTTTGAAAATGAGTTTCTAAGCCAAAAAACTCGTTATTCTCAAATTTTCGATAGCTTGTATTATCGAAAATATGCGAGAGAAAAAAAATTCCTCGGACACGTATCTCGTATTTTTCGACATAGAATCCGTAAAAAAAGTTCAGCCAAATCTGAGATGTGTCGGTCAAAAGGTGTACGGTTTGTAAAAGAATAACCCATATTTGAGTATTCGAATATTCGAGTATTCGTATATTCGGGTATTCGAATATTCGTGTACCTACTCGTATATTCGAATATCAAGAATATTCAAATAATCGAATTTTTAAATATTCAAATATTAATCCAGGTCCAGTGAAGTTTCTTGTAATATTTAATTTTGTTTATGTTTTTTGCTTATCAAACAGATAATAATAATAATAATTATTATAAAAAGTTATTATTAAATCTCTAGGCTACAAATTTTTCTACGTAAAAAAATACATTTTTTTCGTGTCATCTATGAAAAAATATTAGTTTATCAGGCTTTAAAAACTCTCTTAAAAAAATAGCTCAATTGATTAAAAAAAATGAATGGTCGCACAATAATTTTGAAAATTCAAAAAATGGTCAACATTTTTTTGCCCGCCACGGTAAATTTTTGTAAGAAGTTTCATAAAGTTTCAGTTTTAAAGCAACCTAGATAATATCTAATATCTAGTAGTAGGTATACAAGTTGCCTATACCTTCGGATTTCGGGCTTTTTGGCTAGAAATTCAAAATTAAAAAAGCACGTGAATTATTATTATAATAATTATTAATTACTAATTACTTTTCGCTAGTGTCTAAAAATACCTTTTTTAAGCTGAAATTTAAAAACTCATTAATTTTTTGTGTACAAAAATTTACTGTGGCGAAAAAAATATTATTTTAAATTCGAATTGATTAATTTTATAATTTTCAAAATTCGTAAGCCACCCAATTTTTAATGACAGCTTTTAATTTTTTTTAATAAAAATGACAAATTAACATTTTCGAAAAAAGTTTTTTTGCGCCACCCTTACGTAGGTATACTGATTTAAAGTGTTTTTTCTACTCCCACCTTTAAAACGCCCTTTATCGTACATGTTTCCATGACACTAAATGACCTTTTAAATACAAATTGACAAGTTGTGGCTTTACGGCGCTTTAGTCACGGGCTAAAGTTAGTTTTAAGTTAGTTGGCAGTTAAACAATCATTAAAATAAAGTGCCTTTCTTGTAAAATAATACTATAGTATTATAAATGTGAAAATTATTTTATTATCTCAATATAAAAATACAAAAGTATTACATAGTTTCTCAACGCCGATATTTGAAGAGTTTATATGAACATTGTACTGACCTTTTAATTTCGCCGGCAGTAAACTATAACTTAAATTCGGGCACGGACTCCACTGTAAAGTGCTCATAAAACATTTTCTTTACTTTCACTGTGAAAAACTGTAAATTTTCAAGAAATACTATTTATAATCTGTATTTATAAATCTGACATTTGACGGTGACACACAGATTCCCGTATTGTTTCATAGATGGCGCTCTATACAAATTTTTGATTTAAATCATTTTAAGCAAATTCGTGTATAAAATGGCGTTTGTCAAACTTGATACATAATATACTATTAATATTCGAATTATTCGTAATGGATTCCCAGCCTTAGTTTTAAGTCACGGGCTGAAGTTAGTTTTAAGTTAGTTGACAGTTGTTAAATGTCATACAATTGTTAAAATAAAGTGCCATTCTTGTAAAATAATACCAATTGTAAAAATTATTTTATTATCACAATACAAAAATACAAGAGTATTAAATAATTTCTTGAAAGAGTTTATGAACGTTTTAACGTTTTAATTTAAAATTTTGCGTACAGTGCCCATAAAACATTCTCTTCTCTTTTACTGTGAAAAACTGATTTTATATTGAATATTAGTCTATTTTCAAGGGATTAATTTTGATTTATAAAGACAATTTTGAGATTTTAACTCCGGTAGATTCCCAAGTTAGAAATTCTAACGGGAATTCCAATAAATACAACTGTCACTTTTTGTACCTTTAACATTTCCGTGTAAGAATTTTTAATACTTTGTGATAATATTTTGCATTTATGGTAATACAATAACATATTTTCTAACCAAAATCATATTTTTAAGATTTTTAAGTTAATGGTCTAATGGTTTAATGGTCAAAACTACGTTATTTTCGTATAGATGTCGCTTATAAGTATTAAGTATTAAGTATTTGTCGTAGAAAAAGTACAGTATGCAACTGTTTTTAACTTGATACATGAAAAAATACATAAAATTTAATTTCATCCTAATTATACAGCATAAAACTAAACCCCATAGAAAAAAGTCAAGAGGAGTTAAATCCCACTTTATCGGCGGTCGAAACACAATAAAACTCACCATTGTCGTTGACGCTAATCTGCTTGATGCTGGACGTGTTATATCTGTCGGACTTGTCGCTGCGGCAACAGCAGCAGCTGTTGCCCATCGTGGCAACGTCGTCGTAGGCGGCGGCGGCGTCGGCCTTTTTTCAGGGCGCTGCGAGTCGCGGGCGGGCGCCCACTCGCGTTTCTCCTCCGGTCAGCACTGCGTTCTGGCATCAAACGCTTCTAACGGACTAAGATTGACCATCTGAAAAAATACGCAGATTTAGGACGAATAAATAAATAAAGTAGGTGGAAAGAAGGTAAAATAAATATAGAAGTTGGGAAATTATGTCAGGTAACATAGATGAGATATTCAAGACAAAATTTTCGGGTTTTTAATATAATATTATTATGTAGGTATCAAGTTTGATAAACTCCATTTTAGTCACGAATTTCAATAAGGCACGAAAAAAGCTTGCAAGCGAGCCTTTAATAAAAATGAGCGTCTACAAAAGTTTATAAACGAGTTTCATTCCTACCATAGGTACTTAAAAAAAAAAACATAATAAAAAATAATTTAATACAAAAAAATTATTTGTACACACTAAAAAATTTATATGCATATTTAACATATTTCTTGTGTCCCACTCATTTTTTTTTTTAGTTTTTTGATTTTTATTACTTATGTTAATTTTTACAACAAAATTTGTAAAAAAAAATTAATATACATATGTATGTTATTTTTTTTACATAACTGCAAAGTTAATTTAACAAATCGTGTTGTATTGATTTTATTTTTTTAATGGTTATTTTAACCTAAACTAATAATTAATATGATTTAAAATCTGTATAACTTTAACATAATTAAATATGTTAAATTTATTTATCTCCACGCGGTCTATAATTTAAACTTTATTGTTGTCAACATTCGATAAAGAAATACCTTGTTATGGCCTAGGCCGATAAAAATTTTTGAGTCAAGTAATTAGTTCGATTTTTTCTCGCTAGTGGTATTGTTTTGACAAATTAATCCTTTTCTAAGAAATTAATGTACTAAACTGGTTTAATTTATTTATAATAAGCACTAATTTGTTTTTTTTACTGTTAATGTTTAATATTTTTCATTAAATTATTGTAAAATTAAATATGAATAATAAAACAAAAAGTGAGGTTAGGCAACCAAGAAAACGCACGATTCTTTTTCTACGATTTAAATTATCTTTGAGTTTTAATTTGCTTTAAGTTTTCAGTGAAATTAAATGTTAAAGACAGCTTAAACATTCCAAACTACCTATTTTTTAAATAAAAATCCAAACAGATTGAAATTAGATACCTACCTATTTATTAAACAATTAATTGAATTCAATATAATAGCAAAAATCCATTTCTACTTAATTCATGTTGCTAGGTATTGTCAAACTATTACTGCTTCTAAAAGCAATAATAATTATTGTACATTTAATGTAATCTTTAACTAATAAATAAATGAGATTCTAAAAAAGAGAGGTTAGGCCGCTTTGATGTTGAATTAAATTGACCTATATAAAGTGCTTTGAAGATAAAATGTTGTATGCCATTCGGCCAAGAAGTGCCTTTTTGTGCTTCGCTCAATTGTAGGCCTCCGCTACGCGTCGGCCTTCAAACCTTGAGCTTAGCACTAAAAGCCTTACTTCTTAACCTAATGACATAAATAACTATTATATTTTATTCATTTTACACAAAAAAGTGTTACTTTAACATATAACTTTACAGAAATAGTATGTCTTCATTTAATTATTTTAATTTGTTATTTTAACAATATTTTTTAATTAATTTTTACTTTATTAATTGTTTATTTTTATTTATTTTAATAAAATATTTAAATTAATAAAAAAATTTTGGTTTTTGGGCAAAAAATAAAACATGTAAGTATTTAATAATAATGATTTATTATACTACAACATAATTTTAAAAAAGGCCAGCAATGAAGCATTGGAATTCACTAAAATTTCACAGTCCAGTCGTTTTTTTTTTTCGTATCCCAAAATAAAATACAAATCCATGCCATAGGGTAAACGGTCTTCAAACATTTATGGGGATACAAACGTAAGTAAAAAAAAAATTATGATAGCAAAATTACCTTTAAATTTTGTTAAACACACGCTATATAAAAGCACACTTATCCTTACAATTAGGAACCTCTAATCGAATTAACTATCATCAACCGACTAAACACGGTTAGAAGACAAAGGGCCTTGCAGGGTACCGATTTTAATCGAAAGAAGGCGAAAATTAGCGAATTAGAAGAATAACATTTATATTTAAGTTGAATTGAATTTAAAAAATACTCAATTGTTTGATTAAAAATATTCTGTACCCAAATATTTTTGAGTTAGTTTAACTCTTGTTTATAAACTCCTATAGGAGTTATTTAAACTAATGTATTATATTGAAATTAACATAATTTTCTCGTAATATTAACTATATTATTATACTACAATGTACAAAAAAATTATTATTTAACATTATTATTTGCGTAGGACCTTTTAACACATTATTGTTTGTTAAATCTTTTGAAATTTTAATTATTATAATTTTTGTATCAAGTAACATACATAAGTTTATGTAAATTTTTACATTTTTTATTTAACACGCATTATTTTTAACACCAATTTTAAACTTTGTAAAAAGCGCCAAAAATAGTGTAAACAAAATTGGTGTTGGGAATCTTTTTTACTGGTTTTTTAAATGTAATTTTGTCAAATTTTTCTGTAAAAATCAAAATTTCGTCCTTCAAAATCCGATACAGAGGCAATTTTTTACGGTAAAAAAATAAGATATAAATTGTTTATACTAAATATTATATTGAAATTAATTAAATTTGACCCTTATTTTTATTTTCGCTGAAATTAATGGATATCTTAACCTATCCAATTAATTTTATTATAACAGCATGCATTAAAATCGAGATGCTTAACCTTTTTAATTGCATAAATAATTGGTGTAGTCGATATGAGTTTGTTTAATTAGTGCAAGTTTTTTATGAAATATTATCGCGATATTACGATACATTTTTGCTTGATTGATGGATGTATTTAATTTTATCGTTAAATAAATACAAGAATTACTTTTGTCAACTGAAATGGTTATTGTACAACAAGTAAATAAAATGGTAGATTATGAACCAGCATTGTAAGTTATTTTTACAGTAAACGAAAAACTACCAAATATGTGGATTTTTTACTACAAAACGAAAAAACAAAAACAAATTAAATACCACATGTTTACATAAAAATAACGGTAAAATTACTTTATGTCTGTTCTCTTTTTCCAAACCTTTAAAATTTATATTTTCTTTGTCTCTTTAATTTATATTTTAAAATGGTATATCTACCAATAGCAGGTAACAAAATTAACCATAAAGTTAAAAGAATAAATAAATATAACTTAAATTGTCAAAACTAATTATATTTAGGATTAAAACTTAAACGCATTTTATCTTTATAATAAAAATAGGTATGATACATCATAAATAATCTATGCCCTCTAAATATTATAGTGTATATATGACGTATCTACAAAATAAATAAATATAAAAACTTACATAATCTAATCTAAATAACTGTAATAATTCGAGGATTATAGATTACTTGTTTCTAAAAATATTTGTAAAAAATAATTATATATATATTTTTTAAATACTGGATGACATCGGCATTTATTCAATTTGGTTTATTTCAGAAATATTGCCCTTTTAGTTTTTTATACCACTTAAAAATTTACCAGACAAATAAGATATATTTACGGTTATAAAGTGCTTTTAATATAGTAAAAATTTGACTTATATAAGTAAAATTTAGTTTAAACTAAAAATATTTTCGTTCCTAATTAATTAATTTAATTAATTGGGAACTACATAGTTTACAATAAAACACTACTTGTCAAAATTTTTTAGTTCGTAAATAATTTTGATTTCGCCGGCAGTAAACTAGATTTAACTGAATAACATTAAAAACTTCATCGTAAAACATTATCTTCACTTTCACTGTGAAAGACTGCTTCTATATCGGAATTCAACGGTGGTTAGTCCATTTTAAAGGAATACATTTAAATTTACACATAAAATTTTAAATTATGGCCGGCGCGCCGGTAATACAGATTCCCAAGTTACTCTATTGTTTTATAGATGTCGCTCTATACAAATATTTAATTTTAATCATTTTTAGATAATAATTGTAGAAAAAGTATAGTATGCAACACGTTTATAAATTTTTCTAGGCACTCATTTAATTAAACACTCGCTTGTGCCGAATTAAAATTTGCAACTTAAATGGCGTTTATTACTCGATACATAACATACAATAAACCTTGTGTGATTTTGATAAAATTTTAAAAAATATAACGGATGTGCGTAAGGCTGGAATAACATTTCATTGAAATGTTAGTTTTTACGAATATAATTATTCAATTATTTATTTAAATTATCGTGGTTATAACTAAGTTAATTACGACAATTACAATGTGCGAAAAAATGGTGCAAATATTATTATTGAATTATTTATGCAAAATAAATGGGTTGCACAACTACAAATAACTATTTATGGAATGTTATCAGTGATTGTGGATCTATTATAAATAAAAATTGTTTTGAGAAATTTACATAAATGTTTGTTTTGTTCTTTGAATTTAAAAAACACCCAATTGAATTTAAAAATCAAACAACTTACTCAAAAAAATCACATCACATTTGCACCAAAATAAAATTAAAACTACTAAATTCATTGATTAGTTTAATATTACAGGAAGTGCAACTGTTTAACCTTCATTTAAAATCGTTAGATAAAAATCCCATGGCAAATGTATCTGCTATTCAAGCTTAAATATAAATTACATAAATTATTTTGATTATAAACATTTTCGCAACAAAAAAAATTAGCTTGACGTAATTTTTAAAACATTTTAAAAGGATAACGAAGAGATATAGGTTTTTCCAAAACCGCTAAAGATTATTTTTATTAAATATATTAGTCAAGTGAAGATAACATTATCCATCCCGTGAGTTCATAAGTAATTTATCTATTTAATATTATTAATATATTAATCTTTTCCATTTTGAATCATTTCCAACTTTGTTGTGAATGTT